TTGTTAGTTTTCAGCAGCAAAGAGATGTGATCATTGCAATCACTGGTAACAGGTTTAAATTGATTGAAAGCACTTGTGATCTATTTAATAAAGAGCAACAATAAGGGAGAAAACCAAGACAGGATTGAAATCAGCATCCCAAGGCTATATGTAGGTAGTGTCTATAAGTAACATGAATATTTCTGACATATAATAATAGTAAAAAGACAGAATACCTTAACTGATTTCAATTAAAGATCATATTAATCTGCATAGTGTTTTACTAGACTTGGGCATTACATCGTTACATGGCTGAAAAGAGACTTGCGTCCATCAAGTTCAGCCTTCCTCACATTTGTTTTTGGCTGTTGATCCAAAAGAAGGCAAAAAAAAAAAAAACAGTTTGAAGCACTTCCATTTTTGCAACAAACTAGGAAAAAATGCCTTCTTGACCCCAGAATGGCAGTCAGATTTATCCTTGGATCAAGCAGTTATTACCCTACATGGAAAAATGATATCCTTGAATATTCTGTTTTTGCAAGTATGCATCTAGTTGCTGTTTGAACATCTGTATGGACTCTGATAAAACCACTTCTCTAGGCAGAGAATTCCACATCCTCATTGTTCTTACAGTAAAAAAAAACTTTCCTTTGCCTTAGACTAAATCTTCTTTCTTCCAGTCTAAACGCATGGCCGTGTCCTATGTAAAGTCAGGTTTATGAATAGATTTCCACACAATGGTTTGTATTGGCCCCTAATATAATTGTATAATGTTATCATATCCCCTCTCAGGTGATGGTTTTCTAAACTAAAGAGGTTTAAATTTGTTTACCTTTCTTAATAGCTACTATGTTCCATTCCTTTTATTAATTTTGTAGCCCACCTCTGCACTTTTTCTAGTGCATAATATCCTTAATTTTAATCCATTAATTTTTGTACAAGTCAAAATAACAAACAAATGAATGCAAAACACAATGGAAGAAACTACACCAAATTTCTTGTTAGATGAAAGACCCTAGTCACCCACCAATAGAATTAGGTGTCCTACTTACCATCCCTCACCATAATAATAGTGGTGGTGGGGCATTGAAATAAAAATGGTACGTACCAGCAGATGCCTTTTATCTTCTTAAAACCGCTTGTTATGAGTCTCAATAAAAGTTAAATAAAAAAAAAATAAAGTCATGGTGCAACTACTAAAATAAAAATAAAGGACTGGATTACAAAAAAACTAAAAAAAACACATGACACAATAAAAAATTCATTTTACAATCCAGGTGCCTTTACGAGGGCTTACCCATACTATACAAGCTAAGTCAGAGCACTGTAGCCTTATAGCTGGGAAGTTTGTAAATTAAATTCTGATCTAAAAATTATTATTAATTTCTTTTGAACAAAACAGTTTAATAGATGATTATTGGTCTGCGCAAATATATAACGCATACGTTTTTGGACGAATTTAGATTTTCTGTCATGCCCGAGTCTTATTTTTACCATGGGAAATGAGAAAATAGCATTACATCCTGTTAATCCTGAATGTAGCACAAAGAGATATATGTGACATTTTTAATTCCACTTGAATACACAGATGTCAAATGATTAATGCTTGTACATATATTATAAAGGGCCAACGTGACCAAGCATACTGAATTTCTGTTCTTTCTATTTTGCATCAACCTTCACATCACTGTCAGTATGTTCACCTTTCAAGCAAAAAGTCCTAGCAAATGTTTAGTGAGAAAATGTCTGTCCAAATTACTGGGATGCCACTTATACAAATATGTAATGATGAGCACTCTTACTTAGGGCTGGTGCAAGGATGCCTGTCTTCCGAGGCAACGATCCATTTTGCCGCCCCCTCATGAATACAACTACATTCTCTCAAGGGTTTATTCACTAAACTCTCAGTTTAGGTGAATTCAAAATCAAATTGCAAAATTTAAGCAAAAACAGCTGAACTGTGACTGTAGCGGAGTTGGAGAATTCTTCCAAATCAGCTTTTTTTGCCTACATTTGCCAGTTGGTGTCCAATTAGGTCTGATCAGATGTCTCGTTTCTTTACAGTGCTCATTCCTACTCTTAACCAGCGCTCTCATTAGCATTTATCCCCATCTTTATGCTGTTTCTTTTTCCAGAAGCTTGTAGTCTCTATGTTCATGATTTTTCTGCCTAATACATATTATTATTATGATATTTATATAGCGCCATCATGAGCCGAAACTTCATGAAGGTACAAGATGATCTGACTTTTAATGACACATACTCTGCTTTTATGCAATTCTCCCCTGCAAGGGAGACGCCCACAGACAATTATACAATACCCAATCACACTATGGTTACATCCCACACATCTCCCCTTAGCCTGAGAGGTAACCCAATTATCCATACATTTTAAAACACACTTTTTACCCAACTTTCATAACTCTAAAACTATACATCCAATATTCATAAAAATTACATATTATTAATCAGCACAATTTAAATATAAACATAACCATACAAATCCCCCCAGTAGATAAAAAGTTAGCTGGAGGTCCCTTTATGACCGACCGCAATTACATTTTCATGCCCAAAACAGTTCCAGAGAATCAGGCTGTGCGGTCGGAATATTCCCATGTTAAAGTCAGTTCAAACAGACGAATGACAACCATTCGAATTGTCGAACTGTCGAATGAGCTGTCGAATGGTGTTCGAACTGTCGAATGCATTGAAGTCTGGAGAAGGTAAAACTTCAGCTGAATTAAAGATGGCCGCCACCACGTGTTCGTTTGTGGAGGTAAATTGCCTGCACACTTCCACTTCTGGGTGGTCCACCTGTGTGGTACTTGGTTCAGTAAGCTCCATTTACTGAACCAAGTGGGAGAAAGCCATAGACAAAGTATTTGAAAGGTCTGGGGACATAGTCTTCAAGGGGCATTGTCACACAAAGTCTCAATATATCCCCAGACGGTTCTTAAAGGGCCAGCATGGTCCAATACAAGTCCATAAACTACAATGCAGTTCTTAAAGGGCCAGCAGCACAATATAAATCCATTAGCCCAAATAATGTTTGTAAAGTGCCATACAACCCAGGGCCATAGTCATGAGGCAGGAGGCTGGCACTCAGGCTCCTCCAACAGCCAGGGGCAAAGGGCAACTTGTCACCTAAAAATCTAGTGACAAAAGGCATTTCACAAAACCCATACACACATACTGCCTAATACATGCATCTATACACACATTTCACCTAATCCGTACACCCATACACACATACTTCTTAATACATAAATTGATACACAGGTACTGCCTAATTTTAATACAGCCATCCATACACACATACTGCCTAATGCATACATCCACACACACTTACTGCCTAATGCATACATCCATACACACATACTGCCTAATTTATGCATCCATTCACACATACTGCCTAATACATGCATCCATACTGCCTAATTAATGCATCCACACAGACACACACATACTGCCTAATGCATACATCCATGCAAACATATTGCCGAATTCATGCATCCATACACACATACAACCTAATACCTACATCCAAATACACATACTGCCTAATACATACATCCATACTGCCTAATTAATGCATCCAGACACACACATCCTGCCTAATGCATACATCCACACACATACTGCCTAATTAATGCATCCATACACGCATACTGCCTGTAAAATATAGCTCGAATCGATCGATCGTCAACGTTAAATCTTCTTAATTTCTTCTTCTCTTCAGTTGATTGATATATACGTCTTTTGTATATATAGTCTTTGGCCAAATTTGCTCGCACATTAATATATGTCTATATTAATGAAAAGTACTAATATGCAATCTGACTTACGGTTTCTCCAGGATTATTCTTAGTTACTGATACATAATAAAACAACAAAGGATGTTACAGGATAATGGATTTCAACAGCAGATGGTAATTGCTGGACTGCTGACGGGAGAGTTACATCTTGTACAGGAAAGAGAGCCAAGAGCCAAGAGAGCCAAGAGACCTTGTGTCTCTTTGTTCAGTTACTATATAGAAGTGCCATAATGACATCAGACTATAACTCTAGCCATATAAGGACAAAACCCCCAACTTACATTCCAGAGTACTCAGACAAAGAAAGCTATGAGACTTAGACCATCTGTTACTTATGTCAATCCAGGCATCAATACATAATCAATAGAAACATAGAATATGCAATATTCTACACTGCCTAATACCTACATCCATTCACACATACTGGCTAATGCATACATCCATACACACATACTGCCTAATTCATGCATCCATACACACATACTGCCTAATGTATACATTTTACATTAAAGACATAATTTATAGCTGTGATAAATAATGTATTTAATTAATTTGGTGGGATTTAATTTATAATTTCCCGACACAATTTATAATAATGGTGGGATTTAATTTATGTTACAGCGAACTTGTCTAACAGGTTTACTACAAGTAAAACATTTTTTTTAATATAATATATAATTATAGTAATATGTATAATAAATATCATTGGTCACATGGTCACTTACACACGCTCACTAACACACTTACTGATGTATACACACTGACACACACCTAATGAAGTATACACACACACAATTCACTTACACACTCTCACTAACACACACACACACCCTTACTGAAATATACATACACAATGTCACTTACACCAGTTTACATTCACACTTTATAAACAAAAACATACACAAAATAATAAGCCCCCTTAGGATCCATGTGAGCCATACGTGAGCTAGTAGTGTGGAGTGGGGAACGGTCCTCCAGCCTGCAGATAGCTGCCCTTGTTCCAGCTGGAAGATCCTTGCACTCAGAGCACATCCGGCTTCCTGCTCCCTCCAGAGTGTTTCCATTGTTTACAGGCAGGGGGCACAACAACTGGGTAGGGAATTTTCACATCGAGCAGGGGAAAAGAACGTCACAGTGCGCACACGCTGCACAGTACTCCTGTTAGAGGTACAGCGCGCGTGTGCACTAGTGGGCAGGGAGCGCTTTATGTCCATCCCATCTCTTGATGGCCATTTGTCCTGTGAAATCTCCCTACCCCTATACTGTGCACGTGCGGACCCAATCGCCCACGCACGGGCCCAATCGACCGCGAGTGCGCAATGTGGAGTAGGGTAATTTCACAGGACAAATCTGTACACTGCCAATGCGCTGGATTGGGTAGGAGCAGCTATCTCACTTGCTGATTTTCAAAAATCACTTGACCTTAGCCTTTGCTGGAGCTTGTCTCATGTGCACTGGTTGTGTTGGTTGATTTTCTTCTGTGCTTATTGTGCTTACTGCAAGTTTGCTATTCTATTCATTTATTCTACTACACTTAACACCCTTTCACCATCCTGTGGGTGCAGTTGTAGAAGGATTACCAGGACACCATTAAGGTAAGAAAATACTTTTTTTATGCCAACCTCAAAATCTGTACTGACAGTTATCCCCTGCTGGTCTGAACTATATACCCCCTCCGCTAACCCCTGCTGGGCTGAACTATATACCCCCTCCGCTAACCCCTGCTGGGCTGAACTATATACCCCTTCTGCTAACCCCTGGTGGGCTGAACTATATACCCCCTCCGCTAACACCTGCTGGGCTGAACTATATACCCCCTCCGCTGACCCTTGCTGGGCTGAATCTTGACTTTGTACAGACTCCATGAAGGTAAGTAATACTCCTATCGTGATGACACAACTATTTAAAAAAAATAATAATAATAATTTTGTGTCCTTATTTTCCACTCACAGGCTTGCTTTACTCTCTTGCCTAGCAGTGTCCCGTCTCATCAGACTCCCTGACGGTGAGTAGTACCCATATGGTGTTGTGACTGTAATAAGAGGTCATAATTTTGTCCTTATATTGTCTCCTTACAGGATTCGCATTTCATTCAGTCCCTCACCTCGCCTATTGTGTGGTCTTAGACTTTTCAACGGTGAGTAATTCCAAGATCGTGGTGATACAATTATATTGCATAATTTGGTCCTTATTGTTCCCTTACAGGCATGACATTTGATCCACTCACTTGTCTAGCAGTGTCCGGTCTTATCAGACTACCAGACGGTGAGTAATACCCATACTGTTGTTACCTTTGTAAGACTTTAACATTTTATCCTCATAGGCTGTGCAGTAGATCTACTCTGTTACACTGTAGTGTCCATTGTTAGTGGACTTTACACTATGTTGTGTTATTTTACACCGCATGTTGGGGCAGTTTTCCTTTCATTGTGAAAAGGCTAGTTTCATTTTGTGGTTACATATGTTAAGTGGTTGTTATGTATGGCATTTAGGGTAGTTTTTAGTGATTTATATACATTTGTAAAATATGATGTGTGTTCTATTTTTATAGAAATGGAGACCAAGTACTGCGCCATCATCAAATTCCTCTGTTTTGGAGAATACCCACCCAGGTATTCTAAGACACAGAGGCAGACTTTCAGGCAGACCACTGCCAAATATACTGTAAAGGGTGAGTATCAAAAATACAGTCAATCTTAGTTATTTGTAATTAAACGAACCCTTTAATTTTTCAATTTCATTACAAATGTCCTTGGAAGAAGAAGAGTTATTAAAAACAAAGAAGAAGCAAGGAGGATCTTCGTAGAGTTTCATGCATCGCCCATTGGAGGACATACAGGCATCAACAGAACGCGATCGGCCATCTTCTCAAGATTCTTCTGGCATGGAATGGCCACTAATATTGATAAATGGGTACACATTAATTATCTTTGTGTTTTGCTATATTAATGAAAGCTTGTACACAGGTTAACAACTCATTTCCTACAGATCCAGGAATGTGATAATTGCCAGAAATCTGGAAAGCCATTGTCTGCCCCACAGCTGTTACAATGTATTAAGGTAAATATCTACTATAGTATTGCATAACAAATGTTATTACATTGTTTTAATTAAAAATGTAATATATTTTTTTAATCACATTAGGTATCTGCTGTCTGGGAGCTTGTTGGGATTGACCTAACAGGCCCCTTCACAGAGACAGTGGATGGCTTTAAGTATATATTGACGGCTACGGATTACTTTTCAAAGTGGGTGGAGGCTTTTCCTCTTAAATCAAAATGTGCTGCTGAGGTGGGACGCCATATTTGCTCCATGGTCTATCGACATGGTTGTCCCAAGCGTATACCTTCAGACCAGGGTAAAGAATTCGTCAATCAAGTATGTGTACTTTCAATTAAACATTGTATGTTAATAATATTTATTTTGTAATATGTTGGCTTATAAAAAATTATATGTTCTTACTTTTTTGTTGTTTTTTTCTTTTTCTTCTTTCAAGCTCAACAACCACGTGTGCAGTCTTCTTGGAATCGAAAGAAGCATGACAGCGGTATTTCACCCACAGACCAACAGCCTGGATGAAAAGACTAATCATAACATCAAAAGGCAAGTTTAATTCAAGTTTTGATTTTATTTCTGCTTTTAGTAGAACTGTGCCTCACAGGTTTACTTAAAGGGAATCTCCAGTGCCAGGAAAACAAATCCATTTTCTTGGCACTACAGACTCCTTAGGTCCGTCCCTCCCATCCCAGGTTGCTGAAGGGGTTAAAACCCCTTCAGTGACTTACCTTTATCCAGCACTGTCCTTCGGCGCTGGTTTTGGCTCTGCCCACTCTCCTCCCTCGCCGACGTCAGCCAACGGCCGCGCGCGCATTACAACTCCCCATAGGAAAGCATTATCCAATGCTTTCCTATGGGGATACCGGCAATACTGGAGGTCCTCATTCAGTGCGTGAGGACGTCCAGAGTCTCTTAAAACACGAAAAGTGTTTTAAGAAGCTGGAAGCTCCTCCAGTGGCTATCTATAAAAGCACTATATATTTTTTTATTATTTTTATCCCGAGTTGAACTCCATCCTTCCACCAAAGGACCAAAGAGGAGCACAACATATCCTTGAGTGGGGATTATTCCACTTCACGCTATCCATACCAGAGCTGGATTTAAGCTCTGAAGATTGTGAGTAGTTCCACAAATATTTACTATATATTCATATTCTGTTTTTATACTACACCATTGGAGTTTTTCTCTCTCTTCTGTTCTCCCCGCATATTTATACTTATCCGGGACGCTACATACCCTTCTGATGGACTATTAGGACCACCATTTGCGCATTTGGACATTTTATATTTGGACTATTAGGTACCGTGGTTATCCCATTTTTATATTATTTGGACATTTTTCCGAATTTTTTGTTATTGCTGCTATTCTCATTTTACTATTTTTACTTGTTTTAGGCGCACCCTTATTCCTTTCTCTCTTTTCTATTGTACTTTAAGGGGTTCAGAGGGGATTCCCTTTTTAAGGTGTGCTGCCTTGTTATTATACTCCCTGTTTCTTATCAGCGCTGAACCTTTTCCCTGATTTGATTCCACATGAGCTGCATAAAGCTGCACTGCGCAAATCGGCATCTCCTCGTCAATCTTAGTTATTTGTAATTAAACGAACCCTTTAATTTTTCAATTTCATTACAAATGTCCTTGGAAGAAGAAGAGTTATTAAAAACAAAGAAGAAGCAAGGAGGATCTTCGTAGAGTTTCATGCATCGCCCATTGGAGGACATACAGGCATCAACAGAACGCGATCGGCCATCTTCTCAAGATTCTTCTGGCATGGAATGGCCACTAATATTGATAAATGGGTACACATTAATTATCTTTGTGTTTTGCTATATTAATGAAAGCTTGTACACAGGTTAACAACTCATTTCCTACAGATCCAGGAATGTGATAATTGCCAGAAATCTGGAAAGCCATTGTCTGCCCCACAGCTGTTACAATGTATTAAGGTAAATATCTACTATAGTATTGCATAACAAATGTTATTACATTGTTTTATTTAAAAATGTAATATATTTTTTTAATCACATTAGGTATCTGCTGTCTGGGAGCTTGTTGGGATTGACCTAACAGGCCCCTTCACAGAGACAGTGGATGGCTTTAAGTATATATTGACGGCTACGGATTACTTTTCAAAGTGGGTGGAGGCTTTTCCTCTTAAATCAAAATGTGCTGCTGAGGTGGGACGCCATATTTGCTCCATGGTCTATCGACATGGTTGTCCCAAGCGTATACCTTCAGACCAGGGTAAATAATTCGTCAATCAAGTATGTGTACTTTCAATTAAACATTGTTTGTTAATAATATTTATTTTGTAATATGTTGGCTTATAAAAAATTATATGTGCACCCCTTCTCCCCAGTAGTCAGGCTCTCAGGTCTGCGATCTCCAGTCAGAGAGTTTGCTTGGTAACCAGCGGCAACATTCTGACAGGCGGGAGATCGCGAGACACTTCCGTCTGTAGCTCACTCCCGGCAAAGCTGCAGACAGGAGGCTGGCTCTCTCCTAGGCAGACGGACTGAGAGGCTATTGCACATGAGCTACAAAAAGCTGCACTGATTGCACATAAGCTGCATAAAGCTGCACTGCGCAAATCGGCATCTCCTCGTGTTGTTTTTTCAGCACACTTGTTTGTATTATTGTATGCTGATAACTAAAAATTCCACATTAATTACAAGAGCATTGTAAATATGTTTTATCTTGTTTTTTTATTTTATTCATTGTAGAGCTCTCACTAAATTGGTGAATGAAAATCAAAATAACTGGGACGTGTATTTGGACGCAACATTGTTTTCCATAAGGTCGAAGGTCCAAACCACTACCAAATATTCACCTTTTCTTTTGATGTATGGGAGGGAGGCAAGTTTCCCAGCCGAAGTTCCTGTTGAACTGCCAGTGAGTTGTTGCTGTTTTTTCTGTCTCCGCTACAGTTAACTATGCGCGTATAGTATATGTAATAATTGTTTATTATATACAGATCTCACCTCAAGGTACTTTTTTTTAATTTATCTTTTCAAAATTAACATACTTTATGTTACTATTTATTTGACATTTTGGTGTGTGTAAACATATAAATATATTTTAAAAATTTCCACAGCTTTCGAACATCATCTTTCCGGAGGAGAAGAATTATGTAACCTTTTCTAAATGAGAAGAAGGCATCAATGGAGAAAATAAAGGAAACGACAAAGGAAAACAGAAAAATCGCAGGAGAAGCAGAAGAAGACGTATGCGAAGAAGGTGTTGAAGAAAAACAAGGATGTGGTGTACAGTGTTGGTGACGAGGTCCTTCTTTATAATATGAGGAAGCGTGGTAGGAAAGGAAGAAGGATAGAGACGGACTTCTCTGGTCCTAATATTATCAAGGAGTTGTGTGGCAAGGTGGTGAAATTGGAGAATTCGGGCAGAGTTACTCTTCAGAAAAAGATCAGCATCGACCACATCAAGCCATACAGGAGGAGTGAGGAAAACAAAGCCCACAGGCAGAAAGGTGATGTCGAATTGCCTAAGGAAATCGGCACCTGCGTGTCCTCCATACCACCAAGGACCTCTGTCATCTGTTTTGCTGCACCAGAAAAGGAGGTACCACCAACTTTACTACCCGACTATAATTTATTTTTTTTCTATTGTGCATATAGTGAGCCTTGTTCTTTTTCTTCATCCCATTCTTCCTTTATGTAGTATTTGTATTTTAAATTAATGTTAAATGTAAGTGAATAACATTAATCTTGACTTTCTTTTCCCAAGTCATCTGCATCTTTGATTGTCATGCAAAGCATAGAAGACAGAGGTAGCAGTTACTGGGTTCTTATTTTTTTTAGTTTGACCCTGTTGGTCATTTGTTTGGCCATGCCCTGTTAGTCTGGTCTTTCACTCTGTTGCCGTTCTGGCACTTTTTTATAAATTTTTTGGTAAAGTTTCCACTGTTTGGCATTGTGTTCTATACAGTTCTCGTTATTAACCATACATGTTTGATATTATACCAAAGAACCTATACAGGTTGACTTATCCCCTTGTCAGAATTGCCTCTTAACATCAGTGAATTGAATTTAAGAAGCTTAGCATAAATGATTTTTCTAGCAGATTGGATGTTATATTGGTATACCGCTCTATTTGTTAATAATTTTTTTATTTTTCAATACTTAATTTTAAGATAAGGCATACTCAACCTGTATTAGCTTTGGCTCCAGAATGTACAGTTACATACTTGGAGTTAAATTTTCTTGCTGTATATATATATGTATATATTTTTTTTTAATAGTTCAAATCCTGTGGGAAGCTGAAGATGACGGATCTGTGGAAGCAGTTGTGGGACCATACAAGCTGTATGTTTCTTCGTTCTGTACACTGCATGGCAATAAGTGGCTGGTTGATGAGGTAAGAAAATAAAGTGTTATTAATTAGTCTAAAGCTAAAATATAAAAAAATATATTTAATAATTGATTTTTATTTTTATGCAGATGATTGATGCATACATTCATCATCTGATTGTGAAACATCAGGCAAGTGTGAATTATGTTTATTTGTTGGTTATGTTAGTTGCATTATTATTTTGCATTTTAATTTTCCATCTATTGAAACAGGAACGTGTTCGACAGTTTGATGCTGTACGGTCATCTGTATTATTTTATGGTGCAATAGAAAATCTTGGAAAGGTTAGTGACTTGTTAGAATTACATTTTTATATATTAAATATATCTATTTACAATTAATTACCGATTTGGCTTTCTACCTTTACTTCAGATGAAGTTTCCAGTCGAAGATCTTTGGTTATGCCCTGTAAACGGTGGAGCTCACTGGATTTTATTGGTATTTATTATTAAAATAATTTAATTTCCCTTTCTTTACTTATGTTGCCCTATTATATTCTACGTATATTCTATGTAAATATATTTAACTACAATCCTATGACACCACAATGCTCATTTGCTCTATATAGTGTTGGCAAAAAGTAGGTATTCAGTAGAATAATATATAATAGTGTACTGTATGTAATGGATAACGATTATATAACTGATTGTTTTGCATTTCCCCCTGATGAAGTCCATATGACTGGACGAAACGCCTCGGACTGTATATTGATTTATTGTTTTTATATTTATATCAATTCCAGTACCCTGATTATTTCCCTGGTGGATTCTTCAATGGATTTGATACTCTATGTATCTTTTTTCCCTCTCTCCACGTGAATTTTATTGGGATATCGGAGTGAGAAGACCGGAGATCACCTCCACTTATGAGTTTTGAGCCTTCTATCAATATGTGTTTGTGACTGCACTACTATACTCAATAATTGTTAACCATTACATACAGTATTGCACTACTATATATTATTTTTTTTGTAGATATTGGTGTGTTTTTTATATTATTTGATGACTGAGAGGAGTCTTGGATATATCTACTTTTAGTGTAATTGTTTTTCCCTATCACAGTGTGTTCTCCCACTGGTGTGTATAGATTTGCTTGGCATTAGTGTGTGAAATACAGTATAATGAAACTGCTTCGAAATCAACTTTTTGGATCTGCCCTTCACTATTCTTTCCAAATGCCACACTGATATTTAAATGACAATTTCTACTGTTGTGATGTTCATTGATCACACCGTATACGTATTTACTTTTTGGTCCACCTGGTATATTTCAAATATTAATGTAATCAACAAACTTGGGTGATTTCACAATATATTTTTTAGGTTGTCATCATATCCAAGAAGGTCGTTGTGCTAATGGATCCAATGGCAAATGAAAACCGCTATGTTTCACAAGTGCAACACAACTTGCAGTAAGGGTGCCTCTGAAAACCGTTTTATCTTCACATAAGCTTTAATAAACAAGTGATTCCTATTTTTTTATTTTTAAATCTGTTACTTTTTTCATAGTATCTTCTTGCGGATGTACAAGCCGGATAAACAGCCAGATCAATGGAAAACTTGGATAATGTACCACAACAACCAGCAGGATTCCACTAGCTGTGGAGTTTTAATCTTGATGGTAAAACGTTTTCTAACATAGTAAAAGGCACTCATAACAAATGCGAACTGCAGTTACAAATGTGAATTATTATTTTACAGTTTGCCCAGGAGTTCCTACGGACAAGAACAATCAGTGAATTGAAGACCTCTCCGGAATATATAAGGGATGCACGACTGGAAATAGCTTGTGCCTTACTCCAGTATAAAGGTCAGCTCTACCACACAATGCATGAAAGCTGTGTCTTGGAAAATTGTGTTCAGATTTAAAATCCCCACATATTAAATCATTGTGCCGGAAACATGTTTTATTATTAATTCACTCAGAAAATACATATTTGATTATATTTTAACATGCTGCACCATAATATAACGTACATTTTTTTTAAAATTATTTTTGTAAATGCTGTAGGAGTCCCTTCAGGATGTAGCCCCATAATCAATAGATCCAAACACATGCAATAAGGTTAGTATACTGTATACTTTTGTACTTACTACTGACTCTTGTGGCTACAGTTATTCACGTTAACTCTGAGCTGTGGGATACGAGGAAGATGAAGGGGTCCATGTTTGCTACTCATGAAGAAGGTAGAGTATTGAACCTAAAGTTGCTAATTTTCAAGATTATCTAGACTTCATTGTTAATCCCCTCCTTTGCCTTTTTAATATGTATTCCCTCTTAATTTTACAATACTTTTCGTGTACTTGTTACTCTCTCTCGTGCTTACAGTTATTCACTCTAACCATAATGTTTTGTTTTTTTTCTTGTTTGACAACTCTGAGCACTGTCTTGAGGGAGATGAAGGGTACCATGTTTGGTTCCAGTGCCAGAGAGGCCACCATGATGAACCTCAACCTGCTGAAACAGAAAACTTCCTCTACACTTGGCTGCTTCATAACACATGCTGCAGATATGACGTAACCTTCATTTTCCTGTGATTAAGAATGGTGGGCCACCATGAGAGAGATGATAACATTATACCGATATTGCTTTCCTCATGCCATACATCTTTTATTTTATACAGGTGCTTAAACTTTCTCCATGTTCTGTGGTTACCACAGTCAGTCTTTGCAAGGCAGGTTTTTCTGTTACCCTTTTTACTTATTATTTATTTTTATTTTTTTAATATAGATTAAAACTCTAAGCTCCACATTAACGTAGAAGAAATAAAGTATATTGCAGAAACCTTGACATACAGATTGTGTTTCTTAAAAAAAAAAGCACATGCTGGTCCCATTCTGTGACATCAGTGCAATTCTATAGCGGGGGTGATGAAATGGCCATATGAGATGGTGGATTTCAGAGTCAAAAAGAAACAAACCTCGTTTTCTCTTGTTGAACACAGATTGGAGTTCCTTTTTGTCGCTCTAGATTTTTTTGGGTGGATACTATATAAATTTATAACAGGGTAAAGACTCTTTGCTTTAATGGAAAACTATAGTGCTGGAAATATCAAACTGTATTGCTAACACTATACTTTACTCTGCACCCTTATTGTCAGTTACCTGATTGCTGGTTCAGGCTCCGCCAACATCAGGTCCTTCCAGCACACGCATTTAGGCTTCCCCATCGGAAAGCATTTACTCAATGCATTTCTGTAGGGTTTTTAAATAGCCTGGTTGTCCTATGCAAAGTGTAAGGATGTCCCGTGTTATTTCACATAGTTATATTTTAAGGACCCTGAAGCGCCTCCAGTGGCTGTCTGATAGACAGGCAATAGAGGAGGAGTTAATCTTTCAAGAAAATGTTTGCAGTTTCACAGAATTGGCAATATTTCACATTGCAGGGTTAAGTGGACTTGGGAACATCACCCAAACAAGATGAAGTGCTCTTGGTGCCTATAAGTGTCCATTTAAAAAAAACAAAAAAAAAAACGCTTCTTATTCTGCTCATTGCTATATTTTCTAAGTCATCAGTTATAAGCAAAACTATAGCATAGGCACAGTGACAATTAGCATAGGCTGTTACAAAGCCATATTTCCCAACTGTCTTGGATTGTTTGGTAGAGTCTTAGTTTTGTGTTGCTCTCCTTTGTCCCACAATAATTAACAGGTCAACGTTAATTACAGATACATATTTAACGGCACAGACAAATTAATGTAGATTTCAAAATTATTTTTTTAATCTTTTTAAAAGTGGCAGTATTTTAAATTAAACAAAGTGAAAAAGTATGTTGGCCATTTATTAGATACATAATTTTTGCACATGTGGCCAACATCGGATATTGTTAGCCGGTCTTTACTCTTAAGAATCCTTGTGACTAAGGCTTGGATGAAGCTGTGATCTTCCTTTACAAAACAGTCCTTCAGTAACCAATAGTCTCTTATGCAGTGAATCCTCAAAGCGGTTTGCTTCTTTCCTCTGGAGCTGTAAAAACCAAACATATAGTTCAAACTCACCAAATCGTAACCGTAAAGCAAATTACAATCTCTATATTTTATATTTGAAAATACAATTACCATGTTGAGGATTGGAGGCGTAGAATAAAAAGAATGATAGAGCACTTTAAATTTAGACTTACAGCATTTCCATGACCCCCACAAAATAAGACAAAATCGGAACAACTTTTATATTAAGTATTTTTCCTACTCTTGACAAAAGGCAGAGCTACCTAAGGTACACTTATGCATGCACGTGAGTAGATTGCTTCCGTTGGCTCCTGGCAAATGAAATGCCAGGAGCTGAAGAAGACCTTGTGAAAGCTGCATGCAAAGGACATTTTAAGTCAAGTAAAAACTACCTTCACCTGCCCTCCATGGCACCTGGACTACAAGTGGAACAGTGACTGCCTGAGGTCTTAGAGATGCAAAATAAATTAAATATAATGTCCTCAAAAGATTAAGTGCTTTAGGGATCATTAGAAGTCTCAGAATTGGGTATAATGCAACAGAGACTTATGTTTTAAGAACCTGGTGGATTTCGGAAGAGCTGCCAGTCGGTGATAATACACAAAGATCCTCTTGTTAAACAGAGTGATGTGCTCCATCCCGAAATGGGACACCAGATCTAAAAAACAAATAATGCACTTAGTGTCTAATGCTTTAAACAGACTCCCTCACCAATCTATAAAACTTGATCTTACACTGTGACTGTATCACAGTAACAATAAGCAGTGTTTAGGAGATACGGTCACAGTATAAGCTGTGTTTGGGTGACACAGGCGTTTAAGTCTCCATAGTCACGGTATTTATGGTTACTTCATAAGTATTACCGTCACTCACATTGGTTGAATTGGCACATGGATACACATGTGAGCAGTAACGCCACGTCAAGGCTTCAACCCTTTTTACTGACCATACACACACACCATACTTTTCATTCATACGCATTCGGTATTCCAGATGTTTTGGACTACACCTCCCATAATGCTTTGCCAGCATTATGGGAGATGTAATTCACAGCCTCTGGACTTCCCAAGGTTACCTACCACTGAACTAGGCCATGATCACAGTACACAATGTTGAAGTCAATGTGCAAACAGGAGTAGCTTGTCACGAGTCAAATGCCACTTCATTACTTATAAATTCAATACACCACTCTGGACGCGGGCCTCAAACATGGGCTTCTTCATTCCACTTCATATACTTCGTGTCCCATAGGAGAACATGCTTGTCAGAGTTGTGACACACACAAAAACAAATAAAAAACTGGTTAGAGTAACTGGCATAACAGACAAAGTGCATGCAGACTTGCGTGCCACATACATACAGCAGACAAACACAAAGATTGTGGGAGCCACACCGGATTAAATATAAGAATTGGGAGTACTATACATACAGAATGGACAAAGAGACAGAGATGACTGAATTCGGTGACCAACGGATTTGGTTGCAGATGTGGGGCAGTCCTTCTGGCTGGGGTGCAGTTTCTCATCCTTCTCTGATGAGTGACTAGATGGCTTTGGTTTTGTAGCAAAAAGCATGCCATGGCATATGATATCTAGGAAATAAATATTTTATTGTGAAACTAGGGTTGTAAACATCTAACACACAGGCCACACGTACTGTACAGCTCCCCATCTAATGCACATCCCCCAAATATAATACACTGCCCCCCCACATCTAACGCACAGCCCCCCCATCTAACACACAGGCCACCCCAATATACTTAACAGACCCCCCAATATACTGCACAGACAGCCCCCCCATAAACTGCGCAGACCCCCCAATATAATGTACAGAAACCCCCCTCCCAAATATAATGTACAGAAACCCCCCACTCCCCAATATAATGCACGGAAACCCCCATTCCCCAATATAATGTACAGAAACCCCCCCAATATACTGCACCCTCCCCTTGGATGGCTGAGAGTGTTGAGAGCAGTGAGAGACTGACCTGTTTCCAGACAGGATTTAATCCGATGATCTGAGTCCGCGCGTGCACAGTATAGGGGTAGGGAGATTTCACAGGACAAATGGCCATCAAGTTTCCCAACCCCTATACTGCGCACGCGCTTTGTACCTCCGATGGGAGTACTGTGCCGCACATGCGCACTGTGACGTTATTTTCTCCTACCCTGTATCCCCTGGTGAGGCTCCCTGCACATGCGCAGTGACATCCGGCGGCCAGCTGGCAGGTATGGTGCATGCGCAATAGGTACCCCCTTCTCCCCAGCTCTAACTGTGAAATTTCCCTACCTGGAGGTTGTACGCCTGCTCCTCCATTGGATGAACGTCACTTGCGGTGCTATGTATATAAAATAAAGTGGTGCACACAAAACCAGCAAGGTGAAAAGCAGGCTCTAACACTTAAGTGAAGGAATCCCTTAACCTTCACAACACAGAACATGCAAATAAAACAAAATATAAGTGGAGCTCTGGTTTACCTGTATAAATAGTGGTATGATACAGATGGACAAAGATACTTTCACAATAATCTGTAAATAGGTAACAATAAATCTTAGTGCAGACGGTAGTTACAATATAAGTATAAAAAGATGAATAGTAAATGGGTAACTCACAAAAAAAGAGCCAATAACACACTTGGCTCTAGTGGTAAATGCCTCTGGATCTTCTTAGGGGAGATCCACCACCCTCTTTTGATTGCCTCCTCCACCTTAGATTCAAGTATGGGTAGATGGCAAACTCCAAATAGTAGTGTGGACAAAATTATATTAAAAAATAAACAGATAAAATAAATTCAAATTGAAAGAATTATTTCATAAAAGTACATAAAATGGTTCCAATCCAAACCATTTTATGTACTTTTATGAAATAATTCTTTCAATTTGAATTTATTTTATCTGTTTATTTTTTAATATAATAAATTTTGTCCACATTACTATTTGGAGTTTGCCATTCTATCCACTCTACCCATACTTGAATCTAAGGTGGAGGACATCAGGAGGCAATCAAAAGAGGGTGGTGGATCTCCCCTAAGAAGATCCAGAAGCATTTACCACTAGAGCCAAGTGTGTTATTGGCTCTTTTTTTGTGAGTTACCCATTTACTATTCATCTTTTTATACTTATATTGTAACTACCGTCTGCACTAAGATTTATTGTTACCTATTTACAGATTATTGTGAAAGTATCTTTGTCCATCTGTATCATACCACTATTTATACAGGTAAACCAGAGCTCCACTTATATTTTGTTTTAGTCACTTGCGGTGCGGTGCGGCCGCGTCATCGGAAGTGACGAGGGTAGGGAATTTTCACGGGGTAGGGTTTTTTGATAGAACACCGGCTTCCCCTGCCTGCAGGATGTATCAGCTCAGGAGCTGAGCTTACAGTGAGGGAGCCCAACACAGGAAACGACAGGGCTCTCCGTGACATGGAGGGAGCCTAGCAGATGAAGCAGCTGCTCTGAGGGGTGGCTAAATAGCCGCTCGCCCAGTGCTCCAGCTCCAGACACGATCCATAATCTAGTAAAGAGTAAGCACAAAAACATATATGGTCCAGCACACCTTCACAGCCTATGCAATCCTTTTATTAAGACATTTTATTAAGGTGCAATATAATATAGAAACATGTTTAACAAAATATATATATATATATATATATATATATATATATATATATATATATACACACACACATATACACATACATACATACATACATACATACACACAAATTTTATTATCCACTAATATTATGCAGAGCAAAAAACTGGCAGTGTTGCCATCACATATAGACAAGAAGGCACTGTGTAGGCAGTACCAAATAACAAAACTTGCATTTTCTAAATGTCTGTACTTGCTTTTGGTATGTTTTCTCTGTACATACACAAAAATTAACAGGCAAATTTAACTTAGGCCTAGGTAGTTTCAGAATTTAAACCTGCATTTTTGATAGATTGATTTACTGGGTAAACATTTAAGGCAGAATAGCAGCACCAAATGCCTTTTATGTTGTACGCTTTCATCCTTTAGTTTTTTAAGTATTTGTGGTTGTTTTTGCATGGACATTTCATTATGAAGTAGGCCATATTACCAGTATATTTCACACATACATTTGAAAAACACATTCAGAGTTATTTACTAAAGTGACAATTCAAATTGAATTTAAAGTATTACTCCAACGACCCGGCCTTTCCAGGACGTCCAGTGAAGAGTCCCTCGTAGATCTGAGAGACCTGGAGTTACCAGCAGGGAGGCAGAGGATAGACCCGCTACTAGTACAGACAGGGAGTTCCCCGGTTACGGAGGGTACATTAAAGGCCCTCTTGGCAGACCTTTGTGATAATATTGCGGCAGATATCACCCCGTTTAAAGAGAAAATAAATGGGAAGTTAACACCACAGCCCACGAGGCTTGCATTACTGGCCTGGAAAGGGAGTTGGCTACACTCATTCAGGATCTGCTCCAGACACAGCACTACATGGCATTGGAGGTCCTATGGAGAATTGCAGACGCTGGAAGAAAGTAAAAATCCAGGGCTTAGCTGAGAGTGTTACCGCAGCTGAAATACCCCATCTTGTTCGACTGCTTAGAAGCTTATTCTCCCCTAAACAAGCAAAAGTTATGGCTCTGGATGGTTGCTACAGGCTGCCTTCATCACAGGCTCCCTCCACATGATCTAGCAGAGGTTATAGCTCGATTCCAGCAAGGCCCGGACAGATAAGCCTTCATGTCTGCGGTCCGCACCAAATTTCCATACCACTTTGAGGAGCATTCACTAATGTTCTTCCCTGACATCTCTCAAGCCACCATGGACTGGTGTAGGTCCTTGGGACCCTTGACAACTGTGCTTGCCAAACACAAGATCCCTTATTATGGGGGGCACCGAGATGCCTCTTGAGCCTCTGAAATGGCTTCCACCATACAATAGCATGTGTTCCCACCTGTGGACATGGGGCCGCAACCACCAGCACAATCTAAGCAGCCAAACACCTGGGAACTGACCACAGTGCACCCATTTGTGGAAATCCTGCTTCCGCAGAGATCCCTTGACCACCCTCTCTGTCCTGTAACCACTAATTGTTTTTATTATTGTTTTTACTTAATTTGATTCTTATGTAGTTCAGTGTCTATGTCTATCTGATCGCCTCCACTGCATAACTTTAACTACAACAGTGGTCCTTAGAGATACATCCTATCCATTCACCTCCAGATGGCATAGGGGATCTTGTGTCCCTTATTCTCCCTCTCCCATCGGCTACCAAGCTTGGTTGTGACATGCTTTTTACACTCAGCATAGTGGGTGAAAGCCTCTTGCTCACTTTAATTCGATGATAATTACATTTTATATTAAGTTACCCCTATGTAACTTACGAATATGATATTGAGTATCTCTTTCAGGGGTGGCAGGCTTAGTTCTAGCTTGCTATATTAACTACAGTTTCCTATACATTTAAACGTTAAAAACTCAATTCTGTTAAATTCACTATGCAATGTACAATAACTGTCTTCTACTATGTCACTGATTTTTATTTTGTTATACCTATTCTAAAGATGGATTGAAAATAAAGAAAAAAACTCATGCACTATGTGCAAAAATTACGTCTGTCATCAGTGCGCACAGCACGCTGCCTGCACGGAGAACCCTTAATCTCCCCTCTCTCTGTGCACTCCCTGCCACCTCCCTCCTTTGCTAAAATCGTTTTTTGTTTTTTTTAATTAAAAATCCCCACCTCCCTCTCCCACTCCCTCTCAACCTCTGTCGGTGTATGTGTGCATGCGCTCCAAGCCCATGAAACTGTGTGATCGATTCCTTCACTCTAAACTATGCCCGGCACTGGATTTTAGTTAAGTTTATTGTAATTATTATTTTTCCATTTTAAAGATGGGGGGGCCTCCTCACTAATACCTTATACAGGGTTGTAAGTATTATTTGAAGCCAGAGTAGCCAAAATGAAAGTAAAGCTGACTTAGAGATTTTTTTCCAGTTCATCTATTTTGACTTTAAAATTGAAATTCTCTTTGAATTAATTTTAAACATTAGTGAATACCCATTGTTGTGGGGAACTTCACAGTCCTGAAATACTCTACAACTGCAAGGACTCTGGATTGGTGTTCCCTAACCTATATATTTATCCCTATATACTGCATGCCGTATCTTGAAGTATATCTTGAAGCTTGAAAAGGCCTTGCGGGATGGGACGATACCCACCGTGTCACATGCCGGAGTGCGTGAATGAAGAAACAAGCGAGGAACTTTTATTTTATGCTGGATTACAAGGACACTGAAACCAAGGACTTTTACAGTATCCTCTATGAACTTTTTACCTGCAGACATCCCTAGCACTGCTGTTTTTAATTTGTTTGTTAACTAAAAAGAAGTAAAAATTCTGGTCTGGTGGTGAAGTGTTGTTATTGGCGATTCATCGCACACAAGGGGCTGATCATCCATGGTCAAAATAATCATGAGTGGTACTATATCTACTCTCGTCTTGTGAGTGATATTCCTATATACTTTTACATTTATACTATTATACAGCATGCACTATGTCTGTCAATTTTGCTTTTAGGTATTTATACATTTCTCTTAAATTTTGTGCATCATCTTTATTTATTTTTTATCATTTAGCTCCAACCGCCTAAATATATTAAAGCCGCATGTTAAGCACAAACATTTTAGCTTAATTAAGTGGTTTTGGTGTATAGATCATAACCCTGCAGTCTTGCAGCTCAATTTTCATCTGTTTAGGAGTTCAGTTACTTTGTTAAGGCAGCCCTTCACAATCCTCTAATGTCTGAGGCTCATTCAGCCTCTCTATCACTTCCTGGAAATGTGTCTAAATATTTTTGCTACCCTTATTACACAATCTAATTTAGAATGTCTCCTGCTTTGTTAATAGCTTGCTAAAGTCTTCAAAAGCCTTCTGTGTGGCATGGTCTGCAGCCGGAGCAAGATGGACGTGTCCAAGTGAAGCTCCGCTAGGACCATGAGGCCAATAGCTAACTACAGCGATTAAACACTGACCTGAACAAGAAAATTCACAGGGGAGCCTTGCACCGAAGAAACAGCCTAAAAAGCCAGCAGAACAGGGCACTATGGTGTCCAACATGTTCGCGGCATCTCACGCCATGCGATTGAGCAATCAAGATGGCGGACGGGAGAGCCCGTTGGCGCCGCGCTCACCTCTCAGCCCAGGCATGGAAGCAACATCGGAGGCTTCTGAGGCTAACACGGCACAGATCTTGGCAAATTTGGCTGAGGTATGTTGTTACCTGGCTACCGAGATCACGAGAAACACCAATGAAGTTAAGGCGGAAATCCAGGCCTTGGGCACGAGGACGGCGGTGCTTGAACAGCGGGTGGAGTCAACGGTGGTGGCTCACAATACTGCTACAGCACATAGTAACACGCTATCATCCAGACGGACGATGGTGGAGTCCGCCCTGGATGACATGGGCAATAGATCCCGGCGGAATAACGTTAGGCTTCGGGGCCTGCCCGTGCTGGAGGGAGAGGGGTCGCTGACGGAGGAGGTGACTGCAATCCTAAAGCCACTGCTCCCTGGGGTGTCGGAACACCAGTGGCACATTGAGAGAGTTCATAGAGCGCTCCGGCGCAAACAGGCAGAGGATAAGCGCCCTAGGGACATTATTCTTAAGTTCCTATTCTTCTAGACGAAGGAAGCCCTCATGAAGCGCAGCCGAGAGAGCCCAATTAAATATGGTGAAGTGGAACTTACATTATTTCATGATTTAACACCTGTGACCCTTCAGAAGCGGAGATTGTGGCGTGCGGTGACGGAACTCCTGCAGAAGCACAGGGTGAGGTACGCGTGGGGCTTCCCCTTTCGGCTACTAGCGTTTCAGGATGTGCGTACTAAAACCCAGTACGCAGACGGCGACCCTGCAGAGCTCCTGCGGGGCCTGGGGATCCAAGATCCAATCAAGATGGTGGCACTTCCCCAGACAGTAGAGGAGCTCTGTCCCCTCCTTCGTGACTGGTGTACAGCAGGAGAATCAGGCCCATGGAGATCAGCTGGCCCAGGTTTTGCCTGCGGCTGGCGGTGAGGTGACCCTGATCGGAACGGCTATAGGGGCTGGTATGTAAGCAGATATTGGGAGGGCTGATTTCGGGGGCCCAGACCCACCCGGGGGGGATCACTACAGGGCAGGTTGATCAGGTACGGCTGAGGGAGACTGTAAGGGATGATCTCAGGTAATAACGGGATGGGGGATCCAGGGGAACTTCACCCCATTTTGGGCGGGCTAGGTTTGTGATGTGCTGCTGTTTAGTTTGGGTTGTGATGTTTGAGGGAAGAGGAAAGGTCGGGGTCCATGGGTACTGCAACATCCCTCTTTTGTCATATATGCGGGATGTGGGGATCCCTCGGTATGAAGCTTTCGGCGACTCCCCTATTTAGGGGATAGGGAGGTAAATGCTGACTCGGATTCCTCCCTTCATGTGTACAGTAAAGAATAGCATTATGTTATGTTTTTTACCTGAATTTTTAAATTCATGGTTGTTTATTTGGGGATTCGGCGGGATAGGGGGCTAATGGGAGTGTATGACTGTCGCCGCTGGCGGGAGCGACTGTGTTGCTCTCCGTGGCCTGGCTTCATTCTGGCGTCCACACACCCATAGAGGTACTCTGCTGATTAGCCGGCATGTTCTCTGCTGGGGGACAACCCTTGCCGGGGGGTAGGGGGGAGATGGATGGCTGGGGCGGCGGGTCCGAGCCTTCGGGTTCAGCTTCTCTTCTGGTTTCAGAGGGGGGAGGGAGGCGGGACCCGGGTCCGGTCCCAGCGCAATAGGAGGCCTCTGTGAGATGATGGATCCTTCTGGGGGCATCAGGAAGATTATGTGCCGTGAGCGGGGCTGTCTAGTGCAACCCTCCCTTCCGGGTGTATTCGCCCACTTGAATAACTAATTGTATACATGCATGTTGAATTACAATTGGACCGCACCGTGATATATGACTAGGTTCAGCAGTTATATTATTAGCCCAACAGTGGGTCTAGTATTCGGGATTGCCCCGGCGCATGGCTGGATGACAGACCCTGCTCATGGACGTTACCTGAGACTATTATTCTTGCGTGCTGCAAGCACAAAGTTGCTGTTTGCACAGTTTATTTTAGAGAAAAAAAAAATGATTTACCCATTTTTTTTTTTACAAAAAAAAAAAAAAACAACAACAATCTGTAGCGTACGGCAAATAGCTGTAGGTAACTGGTGCTTGTATTGCATACCTCTCCACACTCTGCAGGGATGTTCCCACTGCTTTCCTTGCTAGATATAGATGCATAGGTTACAGTGTTTCTTTACATAGTTTCAGTTGGCACTCAGGTAGTGCCCTTATTGGCTGGTCCATGTCCCCAACACCCCAGGGCTCTTTTGAAGTACTGGGGGAGACGAGACAGTCACCCCAATCATGCCTGGCCATAGGCAGGGCCAGATTAAGAGCCCAGTGGGCCTGGTGCTGACAATTATGATGGGCCTAATTACAAAATCTTAAAGACCTAAAACAATCATACCTCCCAAGCATCATGTAGCTGATGGAGATGGTGTTGGAGGGAAACTCAAAGGATGCAGCTATAAGAAAACACATACCCTATGCTAATCTCTCTCTAATTTATGCTTTCATCTTTCATGTACATCTATACCCCCCCAACAGCAGTGTCCAGTGAAACAGGAAGTCAATGGGCATGGTAAAAGGATGTGCCACTGATGCGAATCACGTGACCAGATCTGCCAAAAGGGGCAAACATGCCCAAAAAGGGGGCAAGTCTGTCCAAAGAATTGGAAGGCCAGTCTGGCATGAATGCATGTCAGGCTGCCTGCCAATCATGCAGGCTGTCCAACTAAGGGCAAACTATGTAGACAGCACCCTGAGCTTGACATAAAGGCATCAAATGATGAGCATACTCCATGCTTTCTATTTTTTTTTTTTTTATTTTTTTTTTTTTGGCATGTCGTTGCAATACATTCTGGTGGGAATAGCTGTATAGCATAGTACATACATGGCACAATCGAGTATAAGAATACATTGTGTAGTGCGGTTCGTACCTTATACTCCATGCTTTCTAAGGACTGTCCCCTAGCACTCACATGTCCACTTGTCTCCTCACCGTCTTACTAGCAGGCAGAAGCTCCTGGTATATAGTCTGGGACAGAGAAAAGATGTTGGAAGTGAGTGTAGAAGAAAGAGGACATGCCACAGTGTTAGAGAGACTAAAGTCTGCCTTAACTAATGTTATTGTCAGCCAGTCCACACAAGTTTTGTTCCCATACATCCCTCTTAAGCTTCCATACTTAAAGGGACACTATAGTCACCAGAACAACTACAGCTTATTGTATTTGTTCATGTGAGTAGAATCATTCCCTTCAGGCTTTTTGCAGTAAACACTGTATTTTCAGAGAAAATGCATTGTTTACATTACAGCCTAGTGATAACTTCACTGGTCACTACTTAGATGGCTGCTAGAGGTGCTTCCTGGGGCAGTACTGCCTAGTGTGCTGCACTGCCATTCAGTGTCTCTACTCTCTGCATGGAGACATTGAACTTTCCTGGTAGAGATACATTGATTCAATGCATCTCTATGAGGAGATGCTGATTGGCCAGGGCTGTGTTTGACTTGTGCTGGCTCTGTCCCTGATCTGCCTCCTTGACAGTCACTGCCAATCCTATGGGGAAGCATTGTAATTGGCTCAGACCACCACTTCTGATGTCAGTAGACAGAGTCAGTTCAGAGGCAGAGCCAGCAGCTGCAGACTTGAATACAAGTAAGATTTTACCATATTTAGGGAGGCAAGGGGACCAGGGGGGCTAGATGGTGGTTTTAACATAATAGAGTCAGAAATACAGGATTGTGTTCCTGACCCTATAGTGGTCCATTAAGCCAGAGTATGTGAAGAGTAGTTAGGGTTGCCACCTTTCCTGGAAAAAAGTACCGGCCTTAATCATTTGTATAATTAAGTATGTATGCGTGACATCACATGATGTAAATCTCAAAGAGTGACATAAGAGAAAATTCTGTAAAATCACCAACAAACTACTTACAGTTTGATTCTGCTGTATAGATGGATTGCTCTCAGTCTCCCAAGTCACCCAGTGTCTCAGTGTCCCTATGTATCACAGTGTCAGTGTCCCAATGTCGCCAGTACCCTAGTCTCCCAGTGTCACAGTGTCCCCATTTCTCCAAGTGTCCCCATGTCACAGTGTGTTCCCATGTCACTAGGATATTAGGGGACATTGAGAGACCTGGGGACACAGACACTTGGGGACACTGGGAGACATGGGGGCACTTGTGGATACAGATATGGGGACACTGGAAGACATGGGGGCACTGATACATTTGGGGACACTGATACACTTGGGGAAACAAACACTAGGGACAATGAGAGAAGTGGGGACATAGACAATGGGAGACATGGGGACACTAAATAACAATAGGGGGGTAGACCTAATGTCCTCCCACCCGGCCCCCAGCCCTGAGCAGTGGGTGGGGGCCATAAATAAAAATTGGGGGGGGACCGAATGTCCTCCCTCTTTGCCCCCACCCGCCCTAAATAACTATAAGGGGTGACCTATTGTCCTTCCCCTGGCCACCACCACTGTGCGGTGAGTGGGGGCCCTAAATAACAATAGGGGGGGTAGACCTAATGTCCTCCCCCCAGCCCCCACCCCTGAGCAGTGGGTGGAGGCCATAAATAAAAATTTGGGGGGGACCTAATGTCCTCCCCCCCAGCCCCCACCCGTGCACAGCAAGTGGGGGCACTAAATAACAATAAGGGGGGGGACCTACTGTCCTCCTCCCCGGCCCCCACCCCTGAGCGGTGGGTGGGGGCCATAAATAAAAAAGGGAGGGGGACAACAAATGTCCTTCCCCCGGTCCCCACCCCTGCATGGCGGGGGGGTCCCTAATGGTCCTCCCCTCCGGTCCCCACCCCTGCACGGCCGGTGGGGTCCCTAAATAACAATAAGAGGGGGAACCTACTGTCCTCCCACCCCGGCCCCCATCCCTGAGCGGTGGGGGCCATAAATAGAAAATGGGGGGGCCAAATGTCCTCCCACCCAGCCCCCACCCCTGCACCCCTTTATAAGCCTTCCCCCGCCCTGCAGAGCTCAGTCTGTGTGGAGCCCTCCATGGGTGAAGGGGTAGGGGGTAGGTAGGGGTTAGGGTTTTGTTTGGGAGGGGTGTCAGGAACCTTACATTCAAACTAGGGGTCACCTGGGGGGGGGGGATTTTTATTTATTGCCCCCACCCACCACTCAGGGGTGGGGGCCGGGGTGGAGGACATTAGGTCCCCCTTTATTGTTATTTAGGGCCCCCCCACCGGCCACGCAAGGGGAGGACCTTAGGTGGAAAAGAACAGAGGAGTTAAGGGCTGCGCTTTAAGATCAGAGGACTATGAAATAAAAACCAATAAATTAAAATGTATAATCAACAAGTGATAAAACCTGGGTATAATAATAATAATAATAATATGGATAAGGATAATGGAGGAAAATAGAGTTCGTCCAAATATTCAAAATAAAAGTCAGATGGTAAAAAAATGAGTTTAAAAATGGAATTAGTAGGAACAGTCTCACCTTAGGTACCCACACCTTATTGTTATTTAGGGCCTCCACCCGCCGCGCAGGGGTGTGGGCTGGGGGAGAGGACATTAGGTCCCTACCCAATTTTTATTTATGGCCCCCACCCACCGCTCAGGGGTGGGGGGCGGGGGGAGGACATTAGTTACCCCCCTTATTGTTATTTAGGGCCCCCAACGGCCGTGCAGGGGTGGACATTAGGTTCCCCCCTTATTGTTATTTAGGGCCCCCACCCGCCACACAGGGGTGGGGGCCAGGGGGGAGGACATTAGGTCCCCCCTTATTGTTATTTATGGCCCCCACCCACCGCACAGGAGTGGGGGCCTGGGGGGAGGAAAGTAGGTTCCCCCCCTTATTGTTATTTAGGGCAATAGGTTTTTTGTTTTTTGTTTTTTACAGTGAGCAGCCACTGGCTGCTCACTGTTTACTAGACACGCTCCTACACACGGTATAGCGAGTAGGGTCTGAATTTACTAAGACTAAGTAATCTTTACTTAGTATTAGTAAATGTGGCTGAAAGACCGGTTTAGGTGACCAATTTAGGTCTTTCAGCCTTTTGGTAGATAGCTCCCTAATACTGTATTAGGGAGTTATCTACTAAGCGGCTGCTTATTTTTTTATTTGCATAAAGTCATGGTACAGATATCACTGTTTTGTATACATAGAATATTGAGAAGTAACAATTATCTGTATGAGTCAAATACATAGAAAACAAGAATTTGTTGATAAAAATTGTCTGTATGGTTTGTGAAACAAGATGTGTTTAAGTAAATACAAAAACAAAGAACAAAGATAACCCTGATAGAATAGTATGAAGTGTATGTTTGACGTTTTCCCCTTCGGTTAGCTTGCCCATGCTATTGCGTCTTGCCCAAGGATGCGTGTGGGATCCCCCTTCATGGGGAATGCTGAAGGTACGTGCACCACCAGGACCAGATAGATGTGTAAAAGTGGTATCTGTCTGAGAGGGAGTAGCAAATTTCCTCCATATTCCTAGTGGTTTCCATTCTTTGGATCCAATCTCTTATGAGCGGCTGGTTTGATTTTTTCCAGTATATAGGGATCAATTGCTTTGCCGATGTTATCAAATGTAGGAGTAGTTGAGTTTTTTCTTTGGGAAAGTTTGGTGGTGGAAGAAGGAAGATGAAATAATCTGGGGTTTGGGTCAGTTTTTCCCCCAGTATCGTCTGTATGAAGCTAGAAATGCGCCTCCTGTAGGTAGGTTTGTATTTCTGGGCAGGACCACCAGATGTGTGATGCTGTGCCTGAGGCGCGATGGCATCTCCAACATTGATCAGAGGATTGGGGGGCGGCTGCTAATTTTATGTTATTTTTTTAAGTGATTTCCCTATCCACATTTGTTTGCAAATTTTGCCCGATTAGGGTCAGCAAGGTTAGCATGGATCCAGGGGGGCACTTTGTGCTAGTGTCAGGAATCTTATATTCACACGTTATCCACATTCTCAATCTATACGCACCAAATGACCCATCCAGAGAAATTTGGGCGGAATTCACTCACACTGTCAATACGCTCCCTCACGGAATGGTGATAGTGGGGGCAGATTTCAACACGGCTCCGTCCCCGGCAGTAGATAGGGGGCCCTGTAGAGGAGCCCCACAGTCCCACAAGACAAACTATTACACACTTTCATACAACAGTCAGGCCTTTATGAAAAGGCCAACAAAACGGATACCCTGTTGGCAAGATCCCTTAGACCACGGCAACAGAACACACATATCACAAAAATCAAGAATAATGTAGGAGACTATCAGACTAACCCAACGGAGATGGGGTTTTTACGGATTTTTACACCAAACTATATCACCACTCGACAGGTGAAGCTGCGAACCCACAACAGGAAATGGATGGGATACGAGAATTCCTCTCTCGGATATAACTCCCCAAACTAGATGAGGCGGACTCCGCAGCTCTAGGTAATCAGATCCCAGTAGAGGAAATAGATGCAGCAATTTCGGCCTTGAAAAGCAATAAGGCACCTGGCCCAGATGTCTTCGAAGGAAGCTACTACAAGATATTTAGAGAGGAGCTCCTACCCCACCTCGAACCGTGGTTTAATAACCTTAGGGATGGGGTGATCCCAGATAGAGACATGTCACTAGCGAATATAGTCTTATTGCCTAAATCTGGCAAGGATGACTAAATCCCAGAGAATTTTCACCCAATCTCTTTAATTAAACACGATTCCAAAATCTTAGCAAAAGTGTTAGCGAGCAGACTGAACCCTATTCTTACTAGTCCGGGTAGGCAACTGTTCGAGAATATGAGACGCAATATAGATCTTTTAGGGAGACAAACTAAGATGAACAATCCGACAATGATATGGTCACTAGATGCCGAAAAGGCGTTTGACAGAGTTAAATGGCCGTATCTGTTCGCGATATTAAAACACTTCAGCATGCCCGCCCAGTTTATAACCACAGTTAAAGCCCTATACTCTAACGTCAGGGTGCAGATCCGGATAACGGGAGCATGATCTATTCCATTCCATCTGAGTAACTACAAGAAACAGGGCTGCCCTCTTTCGCCATTGCTGTTTGTTCTATCACTAGAATCCCTCATGCAAACAATATGCGCAACGGGACAGCAATACATTATATCGGGATTCGCTGATGATATATTATTGACATTGACGGACCCAAAAGGAATCAATGGCGGCACTGACAGGAATACTAGTGGAATATGGTAAGGTGGGTAGATACAAGGTCAACTTACACAAATCGAGCGCACTCCCCATAGGTATGAGAGACGAAGACGCGGCATAGATAGAGAAGACCTATCACATACACATAGCAAAAGATCACATCAAATACTTAGGCATATGTATTTGCATCAACAGAATTACGTCCCACTAATTAGACAACTAATACATGACATGGAGACATGGGTAGATAAACCAATATCGTGGATCAGAAGAATACATTTATGTGCTACCTAGGATACTATTCCTCTTCCAAGCTCTTCCGATCCACTTGACTAAATCTAACTTGGGAACACTTTAGCAGGCTATCAGCAAGTTTATCTGGCAGAATAAGAAACATAGGATCACCCGTAATATACTTTATAGGGGTAAGGATAGGGGAGGTCTGGGAATACCAAACCTCTACTATTATTATGTGGCGGCCCAGCTATCCCAAATAGCTCTATGGTATACACCTCCTGATTAGAGGAGGTGGGTGGATTTGGAGTCCTCCTTGATGGGCCCGGATATACCCCAGTTCTTTATGTGGATCCCTGGAAAACATAAACCGCTACACCAGGTAACATGCCAGGCGATAGAAACTTCCCTCTGGGTCTGGGATGCAACCGCCCTCAAATATAGCCTGACATCTGTCCTGTCACCAATGACCCCATTCTTGAGAAACAGAGATTTTCTCCTTGGCATGCAAGCTAGGGATTTTAAGGGACTTGAAAACACAGGATTGCAGAGACTATATCAACTGTTTGAAAATGGCTCCTTTGTAACATTGGATGAACTGAAAAGTAGGGCCTCGTTAAGACCTTTCGACTATTTCCGTTACCTTCAGCTTAGGGACTATGCCCGAGATACTCGGATCAAAACAGTTGTGCTGACACAATTAACGTTTTTCGAACGAATGTGCATGAGGGAACAATTCCCGAGCGGCCTAATCTCCAGTCTATATTCTCAGCTGAGTACTCATACACTAGAATGGGGTGATATCAAGTATATAGACCAATGGTAAGCAGATTTGAATGAGGTACTGGAGTGCATAGAATGGCAGGAAATGTGGGAGGCTGCTGCAATATCTTCAGTGTGTGTCTCCTTGCAGGAACAATCATATAAGACTTTGTTTTGGTGGTATACCACCCCAGTGATGTTGTGCCAAATGCGCAAAAGCCCGACAGACTTGTGCTGGAGGGGCTGCGGACATAAGGGCACGTATATTCGTATGTGGTGGAAATGCCCAAAGGTGCAGACCTTCTGGAAACGGATCGCAGAATTGCTGAGAGAGGTGTTCGGCAGGGAGGTGAAGCTAGACCCGTGGGTGTTTCTACTTTCCAGGTCTATGGATGACTGGACATGAATGGAACAAAACCTCATATAAAAAGTAAACCTAGCCGCACAAAGAGCCCTAGCACAGGTATGGCTACAGAGGGACAATAGCGATGGTAAAACAAAAAATAAAAGATACTTTCCTAATGGACAAATTGACAGCACGGGTCAGAGGGACAAAGAAGAAATTTGATAATATATGAGGCCCCTGGACCAATAGTACAGCGAGCGATTAGGAAAGCAGACTGGACTAAAACATATAACTATACCACTCAGGGCACTGGAAAAAAGTAGCAGAAAGTACAACCCGAGCCCATTTCACAATGAGAAACTTCGTAGATGCCCGAGATAGATGAGGTCAGATGGGCAATACACTCCTTGAGAAGCCTATCATTAAGCGGCTCCCCTTGCACCATGGCATCACCAGACACAATTACTTCAGCAAAAAACTAAACACATACATGCAAAAAGTCTTTAGATCACTTCATTTTGGTATGTTGTAGACTTGTTTAATTGTTTACACTTTTTCACTTTGATCTACATGTAATATCCCATAATAAATCATTTATTAAAATGATAAAACCGAAATATTTCATTGATATAAGAATTCAGACCCTTTGAATGACACTTGAAATTTAGCTCAGATACATCCCATTTCTCTGCATCATATTTAAGCTGTTTGCACACTTTGATTGGAGCCCACCTGTGGTAAATTCAATAGATTGAACATGCCTTGGAAAGACACACATCTGCAAATGCATAACAGAGTAAAAGCCAATCCATAAGGAACAGCCCGCAGAGCTCAGAGACAGGGCCGGCTTTAGGGGTGTGCGAGCTGTGCAGCCGCACAGGGCACCAAGGAGCAGAGTGCGCAATTGGCCGACACAGCTCACCCATGTCCGGGTCCCAGGAGTGCAGGGAAAGCTATATCAAGTACCTGGGTGGAGGATTAATTATTTTCCACCCGGAACTATAAAAGTAAAGAGCAAGGTGGTGGGGTGGGGCTTACTGAGTGGAGGAGGCTTGACTAAAATTACAGTGGAGGTGGAGCCGGAAGCTCCTGGTAACTGTTGCACAAGAAGGGGAAAGCAGGAAGGAGTCCCTGCTTCCCCAGCAACTAGGCTACAAGAGCTGCACTGTTTGTATCTGTGTATCTGCATGAATATCAGGTCGTGTGTCTGTGTGTCAGCGTATCTATATGTTGTCTGTGTGTATCTGCATGTTCTCGTGTGTATGTGTGTATCTATATGCAGTCATTGTGTATTTGTCTTTTTGTGTGTATCTATATGTAGTCAGTGTATGTATCTTTGTATCGGCGTGTGTGTATCTGTATGCATTGTATGGTCTCATTGTATGTATGTGTGTATCTATATGCGGTCAGTGTGTGTCAGTGTGTGTATCTGTGTGTCATTATCTGTGTATCTGCATGTGTGTCAGTGATGGTATGTATGGTATGTGTCAGTGTGTCTGTGTATGTGTGTCAGTGTGTCTGTGTATGTGTGTCAGTGTGTCTGTGTATGTGTGTCAGTGTGTCTGTGTATGTGTGTCAGTGTGTATCTGTATGTGTGTCAGTGTGTATCTGTATGTTCTCGGTATGTGTATCAGTGTATCTATATGTAGTCAGTGTGTGTATCTTTGTATTGGCATGTGTGTCAGTGTGTGTATCTATATGCGGTCAGTGTGTATCTGTATGTATCAGCGTGTGTATCTGTGTATCATTGTTTGTATCTGTATGTGTATCTATATGTAGTCAGTATGTATCTGTGTGTCTATGTATCTGCATGTGTCAGTTTGTGTATCTGTCTGTATGTGTCTCATTGTGTTTATCTGTGTATCTATATGTAGTCATTGGGTGTATTTTTGTATCTGCATGCATGTTATTGTTTGTATTTGTGTGTCTGTGTATCTGCATGTGTGTTTCAGGTTGTATACCTGTGTCAGTGTGTATCTGTATATCTGCATGTGTATCACAGTGTGTGTGGTAATGTATGTGTATATGTGCATAAATCTCAGTATTCAAACACACTCCTGCATTGAAACATTAACACTACAAACACACCTCTGTGTTAAAAACACCAAAATTATATAATATATATATATATATATACACACACACACACACACACACACACACACACACCACTGCATACACATAAATGCATGCTTGCATTTAAATGCCAGCACCACATACGAACACATCACTACATTCACACAAACATACTCCATACAAAACATGCTTACAATCAAACACACAAATACCGCTCATTGCTAAGTACAATCCTGCAAGCATGGGACAATGATAGATGCCCAGCTGTCAAAGCATTGTTGGAGTTGTATGACAGATAGGGATCTACCGTATGGCCACCCTTGCGATAGCTGGGCCCAAAAGAAGCATTGCACCAGTACCCTTCCTAGTTTAGTTCTGCCACTACATTGCAGTGGAGGGTGTGACTGCATGCCAGGAAGGGGGATGGGGGGCAGGTGGCCCAAGCAAATGCTTGGTGACTGTCTGCCTATAACTGAGTTAAGGCTGGCCCTGCTCAGAGATAGGAAGGTGTTGAAGTGGTTTTGGTGTATAGATCATAACCCTGCAGTCTTACAGCTCAATTCTCATCTGTTTAGGAGTTCAATTACTTTGTTTATGCAGCTCTTCAGTATCCTCCAATGACTGAGGCTCTCTATCACTTCCTGGAAATGTGTCTAAATATTGCATGTATTGTCTAAATATTGTGTGTATATGTTTCAGTATGTCTGTCTGTCTGTGTGTATGTGTGCAAGTATGTCTGTCAATGTTTGTGTGGTTCAGTATGTCTAGCTGGGCCCAAAAGAAGCATTGCACCAGTACCCTTTCTAGTTTAGTTCTGCCACTATATTGCAGTGGAGGGTTTGGCTGCATGCCAGGAAGGGGGTGTGGGGCAGGAGGCCCAAGCAAATGCTTGGTGACTGTCTGCCTATAACTGAGTTAAGGCTGGCCCTGCTCAGAGATATGAAGGTGTCGAAGTACAGAACTGGGGACTTTTACAAATAAAATTTTGACTGCATTGAAGGCTCACAAGAGAACAGTTAATATTTACATGCAAGTAGTTTGGAACTACCAGGTCTCTTCCTAGAGCTGGCAAGAGAGGGTTTCTAGACAAACAGGGTAGACTGGTCCCAAGCCAGTCTACCAAGTTCCTGTTACAAACCCATTCAGTCTCTGGAGATATTTCAGTATTTCCTGTTTAATATATTTGCAATGGTGTCAAAACTCTGGCTTTGCTTTGTCATTATGGGATATTGAGGGTATATTTATTGCAAAACATGTTTAAATAATTGTAGCATAAGGATTAAACATTAAAAAAACGTGACAAGAAAAGATGAAAGCCACAGAGGGGGATGTCCAGGGTGAGATGTCCCAAATACAGGACTCCATACTCCACCTACAAATTACTCAACAAGCCCTGTCCCTGCAACTCTCAGCACAAGAAGACAGACACAATGTGTCAGAGGCGTACCATCAACAATCACAAAGGACGAATTGCCACACTACACACAACGACTCCTGACCTCAATCTTACCACCTGCCACAGCCCAAAAAAAGGCAATCGCTGGTATCTACCGTCTCCCTATACCAGCGCAAGCTGACGCTGAAGATGTCATTCTCCACTGCTCAGTATCCCAAGATAAGGGTCACATCATGACCACATTGAGAGGTAAAACACCACTTTTATTTGAGGACTCACAATTGACTTTCTACCAGGACCTGACTAAGTCCACAATGCAATGGAGAAATTCCCTAAACCTGGTCACCAGCCGCCTACGCTCCGCAGGGGTGGTCTATAGATTGGGGACGTCAAGAGACCTTTTTTTCACTCACAACGGGACAACTCACAAACTCACCAATGGCGCTGAAGCACATACACTCTTGATAGCGCTGGTCATCATGGAAGAGTCGGCTGCCACTTATGACCACCACGCCACCCTAACATGGGATCCAGCCACCGTTGAACCATTCATGCCAAGGACAGAGCAGAAGAACCCAACAGTCACTTGACTAACGCTAGTGATGAACTCACCCATTAACAAAAGGCTGGTAGCCACCCTGAAACTTTCGGACATACCTTGTTTCCTTCTTATGTCTTTTTAGGCTTTTGTTTTAAAAAAAAAAAAAAATAAATAAAAAAAAATAAAACTGGAAGGGGAAAGAAGAAAAAAGGGGTCAGGAAAATGTTATATTTTCATAGATTTTCCTATGTTTAAGTTCTGTCACCCTAAACTGCTTACGTATTCCACATCACGAAACCCTTTTAGACCATTGTTATTTGACCACACTCAATGAAAGGACGGGCGCAAGGCTGGTTTGATGACACATATGTACCTGGAACACCATCAACAGTTACCCATCCCGCCCCCCCGACACTCCCTTGCTAAGGGGTATGGCCCCTGTAGAGTAAGCTATTAAGCCCCTCCATACGTTGCTCCTTCTACTGAAGGGCACGTTACTCGGGCGTCCTACTCGTGCTAGCTTTTCTCTCAGGGCATCATTCAAAACATTTTATCACTTCCGAATGACTCATGATTGGAACTCAACTATAAGTAAAACAGTATAAATGCCCAACATATTTACATCCTTCTCAGATCACTCTATACTGTATCTTGCCCACCTAGAAAAAGACACAGTGCTTTCCTGGTGTCTCGGTCACACTACTTCCCACCATATCCTCTAAGAAAATGTTCGTGATCAATGTATATGAAAAAAAAAGTGCAGAAACTCAGCAACGCTGTATGTAAACTACTGTGTAATGTCTTACAACGCATCAATGTTTATACTGTACATGTTTTCTACGCAATGCAGGCAAAAATAGACTTGACTTAAAAAAAAGTGACAAAATGAAGGGGCCTGAATACTTTCTGAATTCACTGTATAATCCACATGCAATCAATATGGCATAGTACTTAATGTTTTACTCAGCTCTACTTTCTTGTCAGTTTCCCCATTTCTCTGCTTGCCTTATAGTCAGTATTGCAAACACATCGTATAAAAGGCATGTATTTATGATAAGCACTTAATAAACAATTCAGTTTCATTATCTAAGAAGCATTCTGTTTTATACAAATAATCACTGACCACAGAATTGTGCTTTTATTCAGCAAAGTATGAAAATGCCAATTATTACCAAACTGTAGATATATAAGCCAAATATATAATTAGATACACAGCACCAGTGGTCTCTTGTGATCTGCTATTGTTTGTTATGAAGTGATATATTATCTTTACACTCAGCATGTTAAAGTAGTTGTCAAGAGAATGAAGAAAGATGGTGTCAAGTTGCTAGGCAAGAATTATTTTTTGATAAAGGAATTTGAGTCATAAATAGTGATTTTCAAGCAAAAACATATTCCAATGGGTATAATAAAATATATTCCTTCTAGAACTCACATAATGGAATCATGTAGGTATAGTTAACTTTTCTGCCGGTTGTAAAAAAACATCTGAGAACCTCAAGGCCAGTTATGCTGTTTAGAAAACACCTTACTGATAATTGTGGACTGACATATTAATCCCATGGATTTCTACAGGGTAGAAAATATATCCTAGTAACCCTATACTTCAAACACTCAAAGAAAGATTCATTTTTTTTCTTTTACATCATTAAAGGAGCACTCCAGACACATAAGGCACTAGAAACTAACAGAAGTCGCAGACATGCAAGGCTAGAGTGCCTTCTATACTACAGTTTACTGAGAAGCATTGGAAAGTTGTGACTGCGTGCATGCGCGATTGCGACACCAGCACAGGACACACACTCAGTATTTGGATACATTTACACAAGAAATCCTATATCTGCCCTAGGGGCTGGGGTGTTTTCATACTTGTCACTACTGTTTACCTGCAGGATTCTACATGTTATAGTACCTATTTTTACTTTTAGAAAGTAGTGGCTGTTTTACAATTTCATACGTAGCATCAGGAAGAAAGTTGTTAATAAAAAAAAAATAAAAAAATAAAAAAAACCTGTCACAAACCGCTTCCATTATGCTCTGTCTGAAGAACTTAGTGATTGGTTTAAACCCTTTTGCTTGCTACCGATAAGCCTTCGAAATTGTAACATGATAATAATCTCACTGTTGGTAAACTAGCAACAGCACATAGTTGAAATCCATTTTATGAATATATGGCTGGTCTGGCGCATCTAATGTAATCGCTTCTTTGAAGGCTTTACTCCAGAAAATGACCACACTGTCCTATAACACTACTTTCTGATACCACTAGCTGGGCTAGTAAGTCTCTCAGACCTTTTAAGAGAAATGCAAATATTTTCTTGCTTACACTGTTTTGTATGTGTGTCTATGAAATTGAGCCAATAACATTTTTAATGCTTGTTCCAAACAATATTGGTACACAACAAAATGGCAAAACCACTTTGCCCAAAAATGAAAATAATTTTGGTAAGGCCAAATTTCAGATGTATGAGAGTACAGGTCACCTGAATTTCATTAACTATAAAAGACTGGGGGAAATGTTTCAGAGTATCGAAAAGGGTATAAAAATATATAAAATGAGTATACTGCAAAATATACACATAATAGAAACATGTTGCCACCATTTTGTTCACAGATCAAGTGAGAAAAAGTATATATTTTCTAGAACATTGATAGTTACATTTTTCTGCTATATTTGTTCATAGAGAAAAAGTAACCAATTGAGGGAAAAAGAGGAGTTAAAAAAAAAAAAAAATCTATATTTATATATTATCTATTAAATTCGTATGTGATTTGGCTACATCTTGGCTTAGGGTTCAGAAATTCAGGTGATCACCTGATCGGCTCAAATTTATAGAAAATGGAGTTCGGAACAAAACAAATCTCCAAGTCTATTCCAAACACAGTACTTTGCCTCAGAAATGATTCCTTTTTTTTAGTTAGTAATTCTAAAATACCACATTTCCATAAGTCCAACATGCTACCAGTATGTCCTAAGTTCATTATTGCTATTACTATTATTTAAAGGGACACTATAGGTGCCCAAACCTCTTCAGCTAATTGAAGTGGTCTGGATGTACTGACTCTGTTCCCTTAACCCTGCCATTTTAATTATTATAGTTTTTAAGACTGCCTCTAATGGCTGTCAATCATACAGTCTTAGAAACTACAATAATAGTTGTTAATCAGACAGCCACTAAAGAGACTTCCAGCACCAACCCTTACTTTGCTGGGGGGCCCACAATGGTGGGGTGGTGGGATCCATGGAGCTGTAGTGCTTGGAAAGTAGCTTTGTATTCCTAGCACTATAGTATCCCCTTAATAGGATTTAACATGCAAAGTAAGATAGCATTAGCTAATTATATTGCCCTTTATATACACAATACTTGTTTTAAAATCCTAAGGCAATATAGACCGTTTTGATACGGCTATTATATTATATCTTAAAGGAACACTATAGTCACCTAAATAAAGCAGTTTTAGTGTATAGATCATTCCCCTGCAATTTCACTGCTCAATTCACTGTCATTTAGGAGTTAAATCACTTTGTTTCTGTTTATGCAGGCCTAGCCACACCTCCCCTGGCTATGATTGACAGAGCCTGCATGAAAAAAAAAAACTGGTTTCACTTTCAAACAGATGTAATTTACCTTAAATAATTGTATCTCAATCTCTAAATTGAACTTTAATCACATACAGGAGGCTCTTGCAGGGTCTAGCAAGCTATTAACATAGCAGGGGATAAGAAAATCTTAATTAAACAGAACTTGCAATAAAGAAAGCCTAAATAGGGCTCTCTTTACAGGAAGTGTTTATGGAAGGCTGTGCAAGTCACATGCAGGGAGGTGTGACTAGGGTTCATAAACAAAGGGATTTAACTCCTAAATGGCAGAGGATTGAGCAGTGAAGCTGCAGGGGCATGTTCTATACACCAAAACTGCTTCATTAAGCTAAAGTTGTTCAGGTGACTATAGTGTCCCTTTAAAGCCTAGTCATTAGGCCAAACAGCATCGCAACTTTAATTACTTTGTTATGCGTCAAGTTCATGTGGCTCTTTTCCTTCAAAAGAGATACATTATGGTTTCAGAATGATATGCAAAGAATACTTTTGTGAACTAGTTATTCAATCCCAAATGACCAGGGCTGTCGTATGCGTCAAGTTCTCAAAGCTCCTATGGAAGATTTCAATACCATATAACAATGACTTAATCGTACAAGGCAGTGCTTTAGTGTATGCGTATATAATCCTAACATCAATTGCTTAGACCGTCTTAGCAGCAGATTTATATAAAAATCACACCTTGCTAAAAAAAAAAAATGAATGCACATTTAAAAAAAATAAAAAAAAATAAAAATGTATAATTTGATAATGATACGCCATTAACCTACACATGGCAATTAATTTCCCAAGTGCTAATGGTAAAGTCATTGTAAATAAGTTATCATGTTGACTTCCACAGTTCAGCGTGTAAAGGGTTAACTATGTCTTAGTTGTTGCTATAGTAATTTCTTGTTACATGCACTTTTGTCAAAATATTTCACAATGTTAAACGCTACGCAATGATTGTTATCAGTTTGGGTAGACATTATAAAGCAGTATTTTTCAAAAAAAAAAAAAAATAGCAACAAGATTGGAAAAATGTCAATAATATATGGCCACTAATATCTTCTAACTCTTGTTATTTTTTTAATAAGCTTTCCAAATTATTCAATTCTGTTACAAAAACTTCCAAATTATTTATCTACATGAATCACCATTAACCCCTTAAGGGTGAAGGAAATTGTCCAAGTTCTGACCAATACAAAACATAGAATTTGTCTAATCAACCATAATTTACCTGTTTCATATTAATTTCACCCATACTTATTTAGCATGAATAAGATCTTAAAAAGTGTGTGATATTAAGAGATTTTATTTTCCAAGTTCTGCATGGCATTTCAACGTGAATGTCATAATACTGCCAGTTTTTACTGCAAAATAACACACATATTTGTATGCTGTCATATCCCGTCGGTACAACAGTAACCCCTAAGTACAGGTTTTATAGGGTTCAGGAAAGTTACAGTGTTATATACAGGGCTTTCAGTTTGGCAGATTGGTTTGCTGAATTACTTCCATCTTGGCATAATATCTGCAGAAGGAAACAACTCAGGGTATTCAAAATTGGTTATGTCCAGTCTTTTTAGTAGCCACTTACTCTTAAATCTTGGCCAAAGTTAGTGTTCATATTTTTTTTTTTGCATTTTCACAAGAACAACTGCATTTTGACTGACGATTTCATCATCGTTATACATTTTATTGTTTAAAAACACTCATGTTTGTGTTTAGCAAAGTCTCACAAGTACATTAGTACTCACCATGTACAGGTTTTATGGGGTTTTGGAAAGTTACAGGGTCAAATACAGGGCTTGCAAATTACATTATCTAGACTTTGTGCCTGGGTTGTCAGGCAGGTCCCTCAATTTATACTTAATAAGATCACATACATACATACATACATTATATAGCAAATATAGCATGTTACATTTGAAATTACATTTGAAATTGAAATTCGCCAGATTGGTTACGTTGCCTTTGGGACTTTATAGTAGCCCAGGAAAGAAAATGACACCCATAATGGTATACCATTTGCAATAGTAGACAACCCAATGTATTGCAAATGAGGTATGTCCAATCTTTTTTAGTAGCCATTTGGTCACAAACACTGGCCAAAGTTAGCGTTAGTATTTGTGTGTGAAAAATTCAAAAAAATGCCAATTTTGGCTAGTGTTTGTGACTAAGTAGCTACTAAAAAAAAACTGGACATACCCCGTTTGCAATACCTTGGGTTGTCTACTATTGCAAATGGTATGCCATCATAGGGGTAATTTTCATTCTTAGGCAACCATAGGGTCTCAAAGGCAACGTAACCAATCTGGCGAATTTTAATGTGAAAAAAATGAAACACAAGCCTTATATTTGACGCTGTAACTTTTCAAAACACCATAAAACCTGTACATGAGGGGTACTGTTGTACTCGGGAGACTTCGCTGAACACAAATATTTGTGTTTCAAGACAGTAAAAAGTATCGCAGCAATAATATCGTCCGTGTAAGTGCTGTGAAAAATGCATAAACTTCACTTTTACTGGCGATATCATCATTGTAATACATTTTACAGTTTTGAAACACTAATATTTGTGTTCAGCGAAGTCTCCCGAGTAGAACAGTAAACCCCATGTACAGGTTTTATGGTGTTTTGAAAAGTTATATGGTGAAATATAGTGCTAACAAATTAAATTCCCTTTACTTTCGGCATGGATTGTCAGGCAGGTCCCGCTAATTGTAATTAATTAGGATACCTAATTATGTAAAAATATTACATAAATATATATGTAGAATTAGTATATGTATATATATAAATTTTTTAAAATATTTTTATTTATATATAGTGATATATACGTATATATTTATGTATATAGATATATATATTATTTTGTTCTACGTGTATTTTGATATAAATATATATATATATTAATATCACAATACAGTTAGAACGAAATAACACATATCTATATATTTTTTAATTATTTATTTTTAATTTATTTTTAATTTTATTTTTTAACGTAGTTACATATTTTTTTTATATTATATATAAATATATACATATATATTTAATCAGTATCAGTCTACATGCAATTTGATATTAATATATATATATATATTAATAGTAAAATACACCTAGACAGTATATGTGTGTATGTATATGTGTATCTATATATAGTTAGATCATATATATATTTTTACACTTTTAAACGTTAATTAATTTTATTTAATTTTATTTCCAGCCAGCAGGGGGACCACCTGTCATTACAGGAAGCCTCCCTGCTGGCAATGCTGCAGCCAGCTATCCCGGCCATGTGATTGTGAGGTCCTCTCAAGGACCTCACTCTCACATGGCCGGGGGGCTGCTGGAGTGAAGATGTGCCATGGGGGGGTTCCCGTGGGACCCCCGGCGACCAGGTAAGTAAAGAAAGACCGGAGGCGTTTAAAGCCACCTAAAATAGGGCGTAATAGTACGCCCTCCGGTGTTAAGGGGTTAGATTGGAATTAAGTTGAAAAAAAAAAAAAAATACTATTTGTTATGCAGTTGAGCACCAGGCACTGTTTATTTAGAGGCTGAAGTGCAGAACTTATTTTTTTTTTTAACAGCATTGAATCATTTGGGAAGTTTATTAAATCTAGGACAACATTGAAAAAAAAAATCATCTTGGTTATCCTCATATTTTTTATTTTATATTTTTAAATGCTTTTTTTTTATTTATTTTTTTATTATTTGTATGTAATGTTTTTGAAATGGGCCATAGACTTCAAGCAGTAATATAACATCAATATGCATGTTCTTGCTGTAAATCTGCAACGTAAATTATACATTTTCCGTCCCTAGTTATGTCAGTACCCAGAAGACTTTGTCTAGATTTGTCCTAGATCTTACCCATCATAATATATAGTATGTTAACAATGGAAATGAAGAGCTGTTTTTAGATTTACCATTTACAACATATAAGGGATGCTATAGGCACCCAGACATCTTTACACTGCAGCAAGATCGTATGTTAAAGATACAAAGCATCTTGAATGCATTAAATGGAAAGAAGAATATATATTGGCCTCTTTAGACTATAATTGATCATCAGTTAGGTTTTAGAGCAGTTTAGACAAGGATATTAATATGAAGCCCCTTTTTGTCATATTTTGTGAGAATCTACTGAATTTATTTTAACCCATAATTTTCTTAATGGAGCTTTTTTTGCCTTCAACTCAGAGGCACTACCTTGGGCACCAAGTTATGCTAATCGCTTCATGGATTATTAGGACAGATATAATGTTTGGAACAATATTAATTTTGGTGCAGACTTGGTACTATGGAGATATTATAAAGTTGACATTGTAATCATTTTTAAAAGCACTGTAGACACCTTATGTCAATTCATTGCCTTTCTCAATGAAAATTATATTTTTCTGATATTTTCTCCACAAATTGATAGTAAAACAATCAACTAAGATTTTACTTTTTATACAGACAAAACTGATATTAAAACTAAAACGCCTTTTAAACCCACTGATGCTAATGGGTTTGCTGACATTAACAGTATCCACCATCAAACATGGATTTCAGGTGTCCCATGCAGTCAATTCACTCATATAAGAAAGAATTATAACAAAACATTACATAGCACAAACTAATTTTTTTTTAAATAAATTTTTAGAAAAGGGTTATGTGGCGGCCACTCTGGTAGGGACACGAGTCTCACCGTCAAGGATGTTTTTTCCCCCCTCTCCAATGCATCTCAATGAGGAAAGTTTAGCATCTCCATGCAGAGCATTAAGCTGTTGTTCTGATGACTATAGTGTCCCTTTAAGTGTTTAGATAGATACTATACACTTTTTTGTTCCCTATATTATAAATACAAATTAAAAAATAAAATAAACTTAAATTGTTCAAATAATTATAACCATAGCTCCCATACATCAACAAATGGAAAAGGCAGCATCAGTTTACAGACACACGAGGACTTCTTGTTTTACCTGTAGCAAACACAAATCTTCATATTTTCCTTCATTTTCTAGATTCTGACGGCTGAAAGAAAAGTATAGTTTTACACTTCAAGCTGTTTCAGCACTGATACATATGGACTGAATCTGTTTATCTCTTTCTATCTGCATCTACGTAATGGATCGTTTTATCTGATACATACAACCTGGCAGCATTGGATATATATTTCTTGCTTTCTAAAGTGAATCATAACATTTGTCTTATATTAATCACTGTACTGCTTCAGATACAGAACGTACCCATTTTTTAATTATTATTTTCTTGCTCAATTTATATCCAGGCTTTATATTAATGTTTGGTTGCAAAACTAGCTCTCTCTCCTATGTTTTTAGGTATCTCTTTACTTTCTCTTTACTTTCCTACTTTCCTGAGGATTGTGTTAAGTAAAAAATATATAGCTGTTACAATGTCTTACATTAGTTAAATTAAGTAATTTACAATGCATTGTAGTGATTATGGTGCCGCCAGTAGTGTCCCATTATAAGGCGTTAATCAAGTGCATCGTAGGGATTGTGGTGCTGCCAGGAGTGTCTCATTGTAAGACGTTTTTTTAAAATAGCAGTGTTCCATAGTTCAATAGTCTATTTTAAAATAGTGACCAGGAGTTACAAGTTCGCACTGAGCTACTGAGTGGACGAGGCGTGTCCCCATCGCAGAGACCAGGTAAAATGTCGTTATAAAATGGTTGAAGTGGGAGGGGGGATGCCAGACAACTTCTGGCCCCAGTGTGCTGTAGTATTAATGTACCTTTGCATCAAGACTTTGCATAGGTTTGTGACTCCACAATTGGGTCTATTTGCCTTTTTGAAAAATGACTGAATTTTCTTTGGTATTTTTTTGTGAATTTATCTAGGATTTTATCTTGATCACAAGTTACTTATGAGGACTGTGGGTTTTTTTGTACCGTGTTGCATAATATTCAATAAACTGAGTACTTTTAAGAATCCACATTGTAGAGATAATTTGGAACTTACTGATTACTTAGTGCGGTTCTTTTTTGGAATTGTGATGAAGATGGAATTTGGAACTATGGAACCAGCACCAGAAGCCCAGCAGTGAATCTGTCAGCTATCAGCTATAGTAAGTAATCACTGGGTACTTATTTATTTAATTTTTTTTCTATCCTTTTTATAAGAATTGCGGCATAAAGGCTATGCGCAGAAGATATTTTTTTACTGTTCTGTGTATTTTTCATTTGGTTTTATGTCAAACATTTCTGATGGCAGCCATGCAGTTAATTACTAAAACTGCTATGCTTTTTATGATACTCACCTAAAATTGATATCTCCTGTAGATTTCCACTATACTTTGTGTTACCATGGTAGCTACACCCATTTCGGAGGTCAAAAACCTTACTACTAGCAAGATGAGCCTCCCTAGGACACCAGAATGCTTTCTCATGGATATGTTTGCACAACATCAGCAGGCATCCCTTAAAGTTTTGGCTTAGTACAGCGACGGCTTGATTCCAAACCTCCCCTCCCACTATGTCATCAGTAATCAATAGGTAACATATATATAATAAAATGGCTATGTGCCACATCCCCACTCACTAAAAACTGGTCTGCATGGAAGACACTTAGGGTACAATATTTGGCTTGTTAGCAGATGACTATTGTGTGGGGTATGGAAGATCACTGTTTGTCCAGATCTATATTTATGAAAATATGTGGTGCAAAACTGAATGTCCCTAACTGATTCATTCCTGTTCTGTATTTGCTTATTTCTTTTACTTTGTTTGAATCATGCAGTAAACCTCCCAAGGAGCAGTGTTTGAAATGAATTCTGAATACTCATGTACAAAACAATATCTTGACTGTAGCAGTACTTTGGTGACCACTCTCTCGGATGCTTGTAAACTGTACTACATCCCTGGTTTGGAATGTTATTTTGCATTCATTGCACAAAAAAAATTCAATAGAAAGAAACTTCAGAAAGAAAACCCAAGTAGAAGAAAGGAAGACGTTATACGGAAGTGGCGTAGAAGACCCAGTTCAGCATTTGCCAATATAGAGCTATAAGATCGGGGTAGACCGTCCAGCAAAGGGTTCTTGGACTATTACCTAGAGATCAGGTTGGAGCACAACGATGGTCCCACTTATTGTACACTGAGTGGGATCAACAACAAAGTCAACAGCACATCTATGCCAAATTTAGAGTCCTACATCTTCTCCACATGAATCATCTCTGCAATTGTAAATTTAAAAGCAAAGTATTCTCACCTAAAGATCCATTCTGATCTAAAGAGTCTCAATTTTCCTGACTTCCGCGAACACAGCAGTACATTACTGCAATTGATTTAAACTGATTTGACTGCCCAATTCACTGTACTGGCACAAAGTACAAGTGTCCATTTGCAGGACTGATTAAACGTAACCTCTGCAATCAGGGGTTAAAAATAACCGAGCCACGGTATAGAAATGGCATGGAAACCTGATTACTGCATCAGTTTAAGAACATTTACATGTGCTTGCAATTCCCCCAAGAAAAAAAAAATAACTATTACACTACTGGAATACATTCCATTGTTAAAAATCCAATTTAGAACAACATAAATTAGGGAATGTATTTATTTATTTTTACTTATAAAGTGTTTTACGACAAGTAATTAATTGGGCATCTGGGAGTGTGTTAAGGAGAGCAAATGCAACACTGTAATACAGTTTAAAAAAAGAACAACCTCCCTGTTCACCCTTCTTACCCTTACTGAGACCTGCAAACAACCTTCTCTCCCCTCCCCTAGATAAGCATCTGCTTTTGAGCCACTTCATCACTAGCAGGCAGCGGCGTACATACCGCGGTCGCAGGGGTCGCAGCCGGGCTCAGCACTCCAGGGGGCCCGGCCGCCCTGCGGACCCCTGCGAATGGGTACCAGGCCTGCTGTCACATTTTGCGGCAAACCGCTAGGGCCTCATATGGAGGGGGCCCATCAGAGCTGGTACGAAGTGATTCCCCGGTCACTCCTCCCAGCTATCAGGACCCGCGCGGGAGGAGGAGGGAGTCAGAGTGGGAACTCTGACTCCCATCAGGCTGAGCCACCACTGGACCCCAGGGAAAGTAACAAGGCAGGAAACATTTTGTGTATGTGTGTGTGTGTCTCTGTCTCTGTATGTACGTGTGTCTATGTATGCAGTGGCGTACACACAATGCATGGGGCCCCGTGTGTCTGTATGTAATATATATATCTCTGAATGTAAGTGTCTGTTGAGGGATGTATGTGTATGTTTGTTTGTATGTGTCGGAGGGATTGGGGGGCACGGATCAGTTTTGCACCGGGGCCCCATGGATTGTGTGTACGCCACTGCTAGCAGGGTTACCAAATTAGGAGTAGTGACTATCTCAGAGATCAACCAGTTGGTGTGGGGTAAGCACAAGAGAATTTTAGATTAAAAGTCTTTCTGGTAAACCAGAAATGGTCCGGGTACACAGGAATCGTGGTAAAGCAGATTTTAAGCAGGTGAAAGAATGAGACAATGTTTTGGCTGAATTAAGCCTTTATCAATTTATAAATACTTAGGTGACCACTATCGCCAGAGATACGACACATGAGTGAACGCAGAAGTGGCAACATTGAACAAAACATGTAATAACAATATTCCAGAATTTGGGCATCTTTCTTCAAAATAATTATCAGCATAAGATTGCACCAGGGCACTTTACTATTCATTACATCAGGAAGGGTGAGTGCCATTATTTGTGAATATATATATATATATATCTATATCTCCAAATAAGTATGCAAACTACATGTATGGAATGGAAAAACAATGCATATGAGCACATTAAGACATAAGTCTCTCATACTTACGTCCCAACTGAAGTAGGGGGAATATGGATGACGTGCAGAGCTGACAAGTGGAAGTGGCGTAACTTGTATATCGATCCCCCTAGTAAGGCCAGGGAGAGTCTCCATAGTATTAAAAAAAAGAAAAAAAACACAAAATGTCAAACAGATAAAATAGCTAGATTAATCAATATACAGTCGCATGTGTAAAGTAATGTTAAAGGTCATTTATATATCCAGAAAAAAAATCAACACAATAAATAAAATCTAAATATACAATGCAGACATATCCTAGTATATAAATCCATTTAGATACTCAGTTATATGCCCAAATGGCAACAGAGAACCATCTCCAAACTGTGCCATTAGGGCATGACATTCTCTCTAAATAGACTTGTGTGCGACAATATGTCAGCTTTGTATGGAAAATTGTTTCATACTTACCTTAATTTTCTTTTCCTGATAATTATTCATGGCAGCATTTACTCATGGGTTAGCTCCTCCCCTCACAGCAGAAAGGACAGGAAATAGAACTCTGAAACTGGTATAAATAGACCCTCCCCCTTCCCATCAGGCAGTCTTTGTAACTAGCTTCACAACTCTTATAGTATTTGGGTGGGAACGTAATGCTGCCATGAATAATGATCAGGAAAAGAAAATTACGGTAAATATGAAACAATTTTCCATTTTCCTGACCATTATTCATGGCAGCATTTACTCATGGGGAATACCCAAGCAGTGTATATCGAGGGAGGGTCAGAGTTCAAAAACAGCTAATAACTATAAAACTATTATTGAGCTGTATAAATCTTAGAAGACTTTACAAAGCCAAACAAGAATCAATAGGAAATTGTCATAAAATCTGCTCAGAGAAGTTAATTTTCCCTAGAGGCTGCAAGGTCAGCAACCTCCTGGCATTCAATATCTGAAATATCCTGAATAAATATAGAGTCAGATAGGAATTAAGGCCATGATGGCATAAGCTAGAGAAGGATAATGTCATTCTGATATAAAAATTTAAAACCAAATTGATATCAAAAAATCAAAACCTTGACAAAAGGCATAACTTCCAGAGATCATACTGGAACAAGCAGATAATGTTGGATGAGAACGGACACACCATGCTATTAAACACGGGGAGAATTACACTGAGAATCCTACTACTTACTGGATGTATTTATTAAATACGATTCACACCTGTCAGAAAGAGGCACAGCCTAATAGAGAAATGAGAGTCTGTTGTTAAAACACTGCAACAATGACCCGATGTTGCAAAATTCAGATTCACAACAATACCTCACACAGTGGATGAATTGATACAGCAATGATCAGTCACAGGAGAGGAATTAACTAATAACATTACTAGGCAAAGGCAAGAAGAATCATATATAGATTAGTTGAGGAAAAAAAAGAAATATCAGTATGAACCCATAATTAAGTCCAGAATTTGTGGCAACTACTAAATTATAAGGAGGCCAACCACGTCAGTACCTACATTCAAAGATAAACATATTGTAAATAGTACAGATTATGCCAAACAGTATAATCAAATTTATTAGAGACTGTTGTGCAACATAAGTAAGAGAGATATATAATAGGCAAGATACTGATGGGAAGGTGGTAACCAGAGGCACATTATACATTGTGGCAACAGACACATAATAAGCAGGATAGTAGAAGATATTCAGTTATCCTTATGAGAACAACAGCCGCATACTTACTCTTACCTTATCTTCAGACAGTGAAGAAGTACTTATGGCAGAGCCTATGGTGATAATTAGTGATGTACCGAACGGAACGGAACCGAACGGTTCGATCCGCCCCCTATTCGTCATCATTGAGTAAATTTTGACCCTGTACCTCACAGTCAGCAGACACATTCCAGCCAATTAGCAGCACACCCTCCCTAGCAGACCCTCCCACCTACTGGAAGGCATCCATTTTACATTCATTCTCAAGCTGCATGCTTAGTGAGAGGCGGGAAAGTGTAGATGCTGTTGATTAGATAGGGTTAGGCATAGCTAGGTTAGGGTTAGGGTATGCTATTTTTTTTTTTTTTCTGTGTAATGTAATTGCAGTTAGTTGTCTGCCACTGCTGCCAGCTTATGTGTCAGGCTCACAGTGGATACTGTGCCCATTTGCCCAGTCAGTGCCACCACTCATATCTGGTGTCACAATAGCTTGCATTTAAAAACAAAAAACTTTTTTCACTGTTATAGATTGAATAGCAGTCAGTGTCCTTAAAGCGGTTGTGTTACGCTAACAGTGGATACGGTGCCCAGTGCCACCACGCATATCTGGTGTCACAATAGCTTGCATTTAAAAACAAAAAACCTTTTTTCACTGTTATAGATTGAATAGCAGTCAGTGTCCTTAAACCGGGTGTCAGGCCTCCTTCAGCGTGTGTTCTGCAGACCTCTGCCTGTGTACTTTGCCAGTCATATCTGGTGTCTCTGTAGCGTGCTTTTACAAAGAAAAAAAGGTTTCCAGTGTAAGCTAATAGCAGCCAGTCAGTGTCCTTCAAGCGGCTGTGTCAGGCCTACAGCCTGTGCTCTGCACAACTGTGCCAGTGCACATTGCCACTCATATCTGGTCTCACAGTAGCTTGCATGCATAGTACCACTAATCCCCAAAAAAATGACAGGCAGAGGCAGGCCACCCCGCAGGGGCCATCATGGTCGTGGTGCTGTGATTCCCTCTGGCCCTAGAATAATGCCCAGTTTTCAGAGGCCACGTACCCTGAACTTGAAAAGTTCTGAGGACATAGTTGACTGGCTAACACAGGACACCCAATCTTCTACAGCCTCCGCTCAGAACCTTGACGCACCATCTACCTCCAGCTTAGTTCAGGCACCTCTCAAGATACCACTCACCCGCCTGCCGCCACCACCAAAACTAGCACCACAGCCGCTTTACTTGGTATGTTAGAGGAGTTATTCACACATCCGTTTGAAGAAATGAGTGATGCGCAACCATTATTGCCAGAGGATGTAGATAACAGGGATATGTCTCAGGCAGGCAGCATTACGCACATGGACGTACGGTGTGATGATGATGATGATGTTGTAC